CTTTCCGCGGTGGGCTGTTGCCAGGCTGAACCGGGACCTACTAGAGGAGGCAGCCATAATTCACTCGTGGCTGTCTCCTCAGGCTCCGACCGAGGAGGTCGACGTGGGGGCTGGCCGCTTTCGCGATGCGATTACGCATGTATGCGATGCGGCCATGCCCCGCGTTCGAGGTCGTCGGCCTCCAAGGAAGGAGGTCTACTGGTGGTCCCAGGAGCTGGCGGACCTCCGTGCGGCCTGTACACGTGCCCGGAGGTCCTACACGCGCAGTCGGCGGCGTCACCGTGGAGACGGTGAGGAGGACCGGCTTCATGAGGAGTACCGACGGGCGCGGAAAACTCTGAAGCTGGCCATTAGCCGCGCCAAAGAGGAAAAAAGACAGGAGATGCTGGAGGGTCTTAATCGTGACCCCTGGGGTCGCCCTTACCGCGCGGTGCGACAAAAGCTCCGCGCGTCGGGCCCCCCCCTTACGGAGACTCTCCAGCCCAGCTTCCTGCGAGAAGTGGTTGAGGGCCTTTTCCCACAACGGGCGGAACACACTCCCCCGTCGATGGCCTCCCTGGCCGGAGACGACGGGGAGCACGGGGAGGACAATGTTCCGCCCGTCCGGGAATCGGAGGTAGGTGCGGCTGTTCTACGGATCCGTTCCAAGAACACCGCCCCTGGGCCAGACGGGGTACCGGCCCGAGTGCTGGCCCTGGCCCTCAACCACATGGCAGACCGCCTCGGGGAGGTGTTCGACGCTAGCTTGGCGTCGGGACGCTTCCCTGAGTGCTGGAAGAGCGGGAAGCTGGTCCTACTGACGAAGCCGGGACGGCCTGCCGATTCGGTCGCGGCCTATAGGCCCATCGTGCTGCTGGACGAGGCGGGCAAATTGTTTGAGAGGGTTCTTTCTGCCCGCATCGTCCGGCACCTCTGCGAGGTGGGCCCCGATCTGTCGGACGCCCAATTTGGTTTTCGGGCGGGGCGTTCGACAGTCGACGCCGTGTTGCGCCTGAGGGCCGTGACCGAAGAGGCCGTGAGCTGTGGCGGCGTGCTGTTGGCGGTGTCATTAGACATCGCCAACGCATTCAATAGTCTGCCATTCAGCTGCATCAGGGAAGCACTCCACTATCATGGGGTGCCAAAGTACCTGAGGCGGCTGGTGGCAGACTATTTAGAGGAGCGTACCGTCGTGTACGAGGACCGAGAAGGTAATCTGAGGTGTCGGCCCATGTCGTGCGGTGTTCCACAGGGGTCTGTTCTTGGACCCCTCTTGTGGAACATAGGGTACGACTGGGCCCTTCGCGCCGATTTCCCCCCCGGGCTGGGTGTAATCTGTTACGCAGACGATACCCTCGTGACAGCCCGGGGGGCAAACTTCCAAGAGGCGGCGCGCCTGGCCACAGGGGGAGTCTCCCTGGTGGTCGGGCGCATTGAGGCGCTGGGCTTACGGGTGGCCCTAGATAAGACGGAGGCCCTGTTATTCCATGGGCCCCGTCGTGGTCCACCCCCTGGCGCCTCAATAGTGGTCAACTCGGTCCTCGTACCGGTTCGGGCCCAGATGAAATATCTGGGCCTGATCCTCGACGGGAGGTGGCTCTTCGACGAGCACTTCCGACAGCTTGCTCCAAAGCTGGTCGGCGCTGCGTCTGCCCTAGGGCGACTCTTGCCCAATATGGGTGGACCCAGCGTCGCGACAAGACGGCTGTACACGGGGGTTGTCCGGTCAATGGCGCTGTACGGTGCACCGGTGTGGGCGGCGGCTCTGACCGCCCAGAATAGGGTACGCCTCTGGCGCCCTCAGAGGGTAATGGCGGTCAGAGCCATACGCGGTTACCGCACCGTTTCTACGGAGGTGGCATGCGCGTTGGCCGGAACTCCCCCGTGGGATTTGGAGGCGGAAGTGCTCGCCGAAGTTTATCGGCGAGTGGCTGACTTCCGGGCGGAGAGCGGATTTCGCCCTCCGCCCGAGGATGTGCGCGAGTGGCGCGAAGCCGCTCGCCGAGCCACGATGGCTCGTTGGTCGTTCCGGCTGGAGACTCCACGCGCTGGCTTCGCCGCCGTGGAGGCTCTCCAGCCGGTCATCGCCGAGTGGGCAGGGCGGCAGCACGGGACCCTTTCCTTCCGACTGACGCAGGTGCTTTCCGGGCACGGTTGCTTCGGAAAGTACCTGCACACGGTCGCTAGGAGGGAACTGAGTCCCGCCTGCCACCACTGCGACTGCAGTGAGGACTCGGCCCAGCACACGCTGGCGGTCTGCCCCGCATGGGCGGCGCAGCGCCGGGCCCTCACTGCAGTCATCGGAGTGGATCTCTCGCTACCGGCCGTAGTACGCTCCATGGCCGGTAGCGACAGTTGTTTTACCGCGGTCGCAACCTTCTGCGAGGTAGTAATCTCGCGGAAGGAGGCGGCGGAGAGGGCCCGGGAGGACGACCTCCACTCGGACCCGATCCGCCGCCGGCGAACCGGGCGGCGGAGGCCCGCCTACCACAGCCTCATGCCGCCCTGAGTGTGGCCGCGGGTGGACGGGGTGGGTTTCCCCTCCACCCGCATTAGTTGGCCAGCCGCGAGGGGGCGGCGTCCGCGTGTGCCGGACGTCGCCTAAAGAGAGGAACATCCACATTGAGACGGAGCCCGCACCAGGAGCGGGCTGGCGCTAGGAGGGGTCCGGATGTCTTAACAACAGCTGTTCCCGGATCCCTCCTGTTACAGGCGCAGAGTGGCACACCGTGTGGTTTTAGTCGGTCCGAGTCCGACACACCACCCCGCCGCAAACCCCGGAGGGGTGACGGTCCGAGGGGATTTCCACACGTTAAAAAAAAAAAAAAAAAAAGGGTTTGTGTCAAGTTTTCCTTCTTTCTGCATTGCTGTTGTTCTGCGTGGTATTTTCCCTTAGTCGGCTCTTACGACACCCACGGGATGAATAGGGGTGGTGACATTCTGTATTCTTAATCCGTCACCACACTAAACGTTATCATAATTAAATCGAACTCTTGTCTTCATTCTTTCTGAAAATACTTCTTTTCTAATGTTTCTTTTTTTACCGTGAAGGACAACACGTATAAAAATTTAAAGATCAGCATTAAGTTTGTTACTGTTGAGTTGTTCGATTGCGGACCAGGGTCACACTAATTTGTCACACTAGGACTAACAGGAATTTTTTCTTCAGTGTCACAGTGTTCAAATTTCTACACATTGTCATTAGGTATAGATTAGTGAAGTGAAACAAATAGTTTTATGATTAAAACATCCAAAACAAAAAAAGTGGCACATAATAGCTATTATATTTAATGAAAACTCTAAAAATAAAACGAGTCACCTAACAAATCTATATTAATATTCCAAACATTGAAAGTTTGTTTGTTTAATCTCAGGAACTACTGGTCCGGATTTAAAAATTCTTCTGGATAGTCCCTTTATCGAGACAATTTTTCACTGCACTCATAATTCAGTTATAGATGGTGTGGAAATTTTAACAGTGTGTAAAAGAAATCCTGTTAATCACACTAGTGTGGCAATCTGGTGTGTTCATGCTTACGCATAAATTATGTAACCGATCATCTTAAAATTTTGCATGCAGAAAAGGTACAAATAAACAAAGAAGGGTTATGTTAGTGTTGTGAGCGTTGCGTGTAGTGACGGATTAAGAATGCGAAGTGTCACCCCTTTTTTTTCCGTGCGGAAATCCCCTCGGATACACCAACTAAAACCGCACGCCGTCTCGGGTACTAATAGCCGGGGAACCAGGTATACCCTAGAAAGCCAGCGTGGTGAAGTAGGCCAAAACCTCCTTTCTACAAAGACCTATGTCCAGCCGTGGACTATCAAAGGCTGTTGATGATAATGATGATGTGAGCGTTCAGGGAGTTCCATTAATTTGTATAAATAGACACAAAATTGCTCTTTAAAAGAAAACATAAAATTAAACTGCTAAAAAGTTATTAAATTATGTTTATTCTTCTCTGTCAACAAAAAACAAATCGTAAAAAAATATTTATTCCTAAAACAATTAATCTGTTTCTGCCTACAGAGTAGCATTTCATTATATCTGTACTTCTTACTGAACAATAAACAAAACCATAGCGATTGTTACCATCGAGGTTTAAATGACAACTAAATGAGAAGGTTGAATTATACACGGAAATTGAAAAATCAACAAATGTCAAACTTAGATACGACATACAAACTTAAAAATAGTAATGTCCTTAAATTCAAGTCATGTCTGAGTGTATATTTATTTGGTTTAGTTTAAGAAAAACATATATACAATAAATGCAATGTCTATTTCTAAGTAATTATCTTTATACAAGCGAACGGCCTTAAAACTAAAAGGCTAGTTGATTCAATTTGAAAACTTGGTTAATAATATACCTGAATGTCTATTTTATCCCAAAAAACCTATGTTTTAAAGATAAAGCAATATTTAAATTACGTTTTTGTATTTAAAAAAAATCCCTTGAAAACGCTGGATAGTGTCAGGGCGTCTTGAATTACGTCACAGTCTGCGAAACAAAACTGTTTACATCTGTGTCCAGTGTCAACTGAAACTTTATTAAGGTGAGAAAATATGCTAAAAACGAAAACCAATAAGGAGTAACCTGCTCTGTTGTATGAAAACGTCAACAACAAGAATGATGTGTGCGACGTAACACTTTCTAATTGATGTTCGCTGTCACGTGACTCAATGCCTATTTTGTACGAATTTATTTACAAATATTAATAATCTAAACTTTGATGAGAAATAGACTGGTTTTTTTCTTATCTATGTCACTTCATTTAGAATTTGAAACTATAAACTAAGCAATTTGTTATTAGTGGACACAAGCCTATTTTCTCAAGTGAGACCGAACAGACTATAAAATAAACCCGTTATTTGTATGTGATCTTTCTGTGTCATTCCAGCCACTCTTATATTGATTTTGTTATTGATTTGGATTTATTAACATTGAGTAATTAAATAATTATGTAGTCCAATGAATATGAGTAACATTTTTCAGTATTGCTTTGTGTCCTTTCTATAACTATAACAAAATAACTGTACTGTCCGAGTCATAGCCGTGATCGCTCTCTGTGCTGTATTTGTCCACACCAGTTTTGGGTTTATTATACATAATTTTCCTTTTTTTACTAGAATCTTTACTGTCAGATTTACTATAATTGTAATCTTCAAATCGATGGCTCAATGATCTCTTTTTATATTCTTCTAATGATATTTTTTTAATCTCCTGTTTTTTAATACTTTCTTTAGACTTACCGCTAACTACTCTGTTATAAAAGTCATTCGTGGGTGTGATTTCTTTGTTAGTTTTAATATCTTTTTTTCTAACATTTTTCTGAGACTGACAGTTTATTGTTTTTTTATTACTTTCTTTAAGATATCTAATTTTCTTGCTAACATCTATACGAGAAATACATATAACATCATTCTGATTTTGATTTTGAACTTTCATTTTCACTTGATCCAAAACTCTTTCAAATGTAGGAATGGGTAATATCGGAGGCGAATATCCATTTTGTCGCTCTATGTCTTTACGATAGTCTTTGTTAATAGTTATCTCTGGCTTACTTGAACTTGGCTCTGACTTCTCTGATGTTTTGAAAATATCGTCTAATTTTTTCTCTATATCATTATCGTCTTTATTAACAGCTATTTTCAAATTATTTGTTTCACTGTCCAATAATTCTAACATTGTAGTTTTGCTTGTAACTAAATCATAATTTTGTTCAGAAAAAACGTTATGTGTATTTAATTTAATAATATCTTCTTTATAACTGTGTGTTAAATGTCTCGGATCTTCATTTGTATTCAGAACTCGTGAAGAATGATCTTGTTGTGTGTTTACCATAGGTTTAGCAATCTTGTCCAGTGATGATACAAGTCCATACTTTGTATTCCTAATAGGGTTTATATTTGTTTGCAATTCTAATATTGGTAAACGAGGGGCAAAAAAATTACGAGGGCATTCACTTCTTGGATCCCCCTTATGAAAATTATTTGGCATACGCCAACCAGTATGACTAGTTGGAAACGGTAGTGAATTATACAAAGAATTGCATCTGTTATTATGCGGTGCAGGGAATCTGTTATTTGTTATGATACAATTTCTCATTCTAGGAATAAATCTCTGTTCTTGGTTATATGGTGGTCTGTAGTGGTTAGTTTTATAAGGGTTATGGTAAAACCGTGGTTGCATTCGAACGGGTATTTGAGGAGGTCCTTTATTATCCAGGATAGGGTAGTTAAATCGTGGTCCACATGAGATACTTTTTGGCTGAGTCGGCTTTAAAATAATTGCAGATGCGTAGGAGTTATGAGAAGGACCATTATTTAAATGGTTAAGAATGGCTTTATTACTGCACTCATTTTGATTATTTAAGTTATATGTATTAATAAACTTATCGTAGTTATTTGGGATTGAATTTGGCTTACATTGAGTGGATGAGACGGTGGTCATAGATGATGGAGTAATTTTATTATTAATAGTTGAGCCAATATTAGTCCACTGATCAGAAGCGACTTCATTACTATTTGATATAATATAATTAGACATATTTTTAGAATAATTCGTATTATTTGCATTTGAAACGTAAGAAGTCATATCTGTAGGATGTGCGAAACAGAATGGAATAGGATTTTTAGACACAATGGGATTCATTTGTAAATTATTGTAAACATTGGAACTCATTGGAAAACTGGTTTGAATCGTATCGACTGGACTGGACGAACAGGACTGGTTATTAGTAATAGGAGCATTACTTTTCCCTACATCGTCACATTTTAGTGGCACTTCTTTCAATGGCTTTGTAGCCTCATTTTTTTCATCGGTGTCTTTAATTTCTGAGTTTAATTGCTGAGATTCTATTGTACTTTCTATTGGAGTTCTTGGTATACTGCCAAAGTTATTACAATTGCCAAGCATTGGCTTATTAGCTACTTGATGTATAGTATCAGATTGGCTTGTTGATTTCTTTTCTTTACAGGTGTATCGGTTGTCTATTTTGAAAGAGTTTTCAAATGCCCTTACACTTTCATTCATATTTTTATTTTTGTCCACATTATTTGCTTCAAAAGGAATAGTTTCTTTTTTATTTGATTCTAAATCTAACAGTTTCAGCAGCTTGCTTTCAAAATCTTTTAATCGAGTTTTCTTATATTTAGTTGTGTTCTTTATATTTTTAACAGTACGTGAAGAATTTTTAACTTCCCTTGGTGAACTTGATGGGTTAAGTGATGTAGAAAAATTGACTGATTTTTTTTTGTTATCTGGCAATATGTCCTGCCATTTTTTGTCTTGCTTCATTGTTATTATGTGCTCTACTAGTTCTTCAGAAATTTTCTCTTCGATAAATTTCACTGAGCTTTTATCAATTAACACATCCGCCATGCTTTCTTGGTATTCAGATTTATAAGTTTTAGCTTCAGTTTCATTTGATGCTGATGCTGTATTTACTTTGGGTACTGTAGGTGTTATAAATAATTTACCAATATTGTTAAGTGCTTTATCAGAAGCATTTATACTGGACTTGGCAATTGTTTGGTGTTTTTCAGTGACCTTAATAACTGTCGTTTTATTAAAATTTGGCTCCGCTGGTGTTAAGTGTGTTTCTTTCACATACTTCTGTGTAATTTTCATACCAATAAGGCCCTTGTTGCGTTTGAAATCAACTGTCCCTGAATGTTTTTGACTCAGTGCCTTTTGTATTTCAATATCTTCTCTGCGCTTTTTCCCGGCAGTAGTCTTTGAAGTTATAGTAGGCAACGAAGAGGAACTATGCTTATTGTTCTGGTTATTTGTTTCTTTACCTATGTAATCTATTATAAAACAATCATCATTTAGATCATCAACATTCTCTATGTCTAGTTCACTATCACTGTCACTAACTGAAACACTTATATTAACTTTTTCCAATATTTGTTGAGTATACTTTTTATAGTACCACGGAAATTTGGAACAGTCGACTAATTTAATATATAAGGGAAGGCAGTCGCGTTCACTAAAATTCTCTGAGTCACTATCTTCAATTCCTGTGGAATCACCGTCTTTTTCTAATGTCACATCTTCATTCGAATGATTATATTTAGAAATATTCATAGTACCTGAAAGGAATGCAAGATTTTTTTATTGAATTTTATTAATACACTAATGTATAAAAATAAACGAACTTATTATTGAATTCTATCATTACTACCTTCGCCATGATTACATTTTACAGTTTGAAAGTAACAGTACTTTTAATGGTTGATATGGGTATGGGTAAATTTAATCTTCGCCTGCGGTACATGGGCGCGAATGTAGAACGAGAAAGGGGGACCGAGAGAGGTGCGGGCGGCGGGCGTTGGAAGAAAAGATGAATGTGCTTGCCGCCCGAGGCAAGGCGAGGGCTCAATTAAGCAGTTTATTTAAAATAATTTATTCCTTTTTTTAATACTAACTTATTTAATCTCAATAATTACGTACGTGTTTAATTTGTAAAAAAAAATCAGCCAATTACTCTTTTTAATTCATAATCATCTTCTTTTTGACTGTTCAATGAACAGGAGTAGTGATGATCCGATTAAAAATAGGAATCGATTTTATTGAAAAAGAAGTTGTTATTGATTCAAAGAGATAATTTAAGTTAAAAATACTTAACTAATAAATTATACTACCCACATTGAAAGTATTTTACAAAAAAACATATTTTTAATTCATAATCATTATTTTTTCGCCATTTATTTTTTCATTATTCTAGTCCAATCAATTTTTATAACTTTTCTACTAACGAATTAAGAAGTTTTTTCTAGCACCGCCTATTCTTATAATCTATTCCATCAAGTACGAAATTCAAATGCCATTGGTTTTCCTAGTGGCCTAATTTACAGTTACATGTAATTTCAATGAGCCCAAGAGTGTTGTGGTAACTTTCACATACAAAGAAAAAGCCTTCTTAAACACCATCTAACGAATACACAGTGAACTACATACGAACTACTAATCCTGCAACACGCAATGAAAGTTCTCGCGCGGATTAGGTTTCCGTTTTTCCTTTCTTGTCATTGCCTGTTTGAAGAATCCTCCTTGTGTTGGAGAGACATAACACCCGTTCCTCCAGTGTTATAATTTGAGAAAATTTGCGAAATCAAAACGTATGAAGTTTCGGTATTATTGAATTTAGTCACTTCCACAACATTTCTTTAATAAACCTGACCAGTTTCGTCTTACGGCATTGTCAAAGGGCATGACATAACAGCTACTATTATAGTATTAGTTTTAAAAATGGTTTTCGCTCAGAATATAAAATAAATATCACCACAAATAAAAACCAATGGTATTAGAATGCGGTATTCGAGTGGGATACATTAATTTTACGGCACAGTCACGTAATCAAATAACTGTCAAACAGAAGAAAAACGAATGGATAAAGTATATTTTTTGACAGTTAAATGTAGCGAGGTATAATATGAAGTAAACTTTGACATTATGCTTTGAAGTTTTTAATTTACTTTTGAACAGACCGTTGTCCTGCGTTGCTTGGCTCCCGAAATGAACCCTGTCATGCTCAGAGTCGAACAGCTTGATTAGGTCATCGAAGTACTCGTCATCAGTTTCATCATTTAGTTGGGGTCTCATATTGATGAAATCTGAAAAAAAGAAAAATATATTATAAAAACAAATTATCGATGTCTTTGCTCGTTTCCTCTTTATTCAATTTATTTTAAAGATGTTTGATGTCAAAAACATTGCAACTCCTGCAATAATATAATGGGTAATAACCCGGCAATCTCGTGCGCCACCGTCCCGCGGGGTGACAGACAGTGGCGGGGGCGAGGTAGCGCGTCATTCTAGCACACGGCTACACACGATTCCCTTCCCCGCTACGCTACCCGCTGACATCTTGAGTACCTCGTCCCCGCCACCGTCTTTCGTCGTCTTTTTTTTTTCCTTGCGGAAATCCCCTCGGATTCCACCTATCGGTGGCATGTCGAACTCGAACCGACTAAAACCGCACACCGTCTCGGGTACTAATAGCCGGGGAACCAAGTATACCCTAGAAAGGAAGTCCCTGGTGCCCCGACATACCTCGGGCCATCTACAGACGAGTAGACGACCCCCCCCCCTCCCCGTGTGGGAACCATATTTTCCTCCTCTCTGGAAGCGAGCGCGATTCGCAACGCGCTCGCCGCCACCCCGGCCTGCTTATGCTAGGGTGACAGATGGCCTCACCTGTCACCCCAGGCCTGCGTTTAGGCAGGAAGGAGGTCGTTCTGCGACCTCCGGCGCCTGAGTCGCCTGCGGTACCTGGCCCGTTCCCGGGCCTGGCGGGCCGGGAGAGTTCTAAACCTCTCCCGGTCCCGCTCCGCCGTCTCCTTCGCGAGCATAACTTTCTCGCAGAAGGAGACGGCAGAGTTCCACGCACTCTCGCTCCGCACGATAGCCGCAATCAGGCTATCGAGCAAGAGAACTCCCACTAAGATGGGCGCCACGAGGTGTCGCTTCTGCTCAACCCCCGCCGGGCAATCTGCCAGCGTGTGGAGAGCCGTGTCCACGGTCTGGCCATCGCAGTGAGTGCCACATTCAGGCATTGGCTCCTTGCGGATCAGACACAGGTGATCCCCGAAACATCCTTTCCCAGTGATCACCTGCGTCAGTCGGTATTAGAGGGTCTCGTGACGCCTCTCGAGCCAATCCTCCATAACGGGTCTTACCGCCGCGCTGACGGCGTGCCCGGCGCTCGGTTGCCCGAGTCGTTCCCTCCACTCCCCTATGATGACTTGGCGGAGTTGGGATTTCCGGTCATCGATTTCTCGAATCTCGGGACACCGACCCAACTCCCGCGCCTCCTTGCACCACTGATACAGAGCCGCAAGGGCTCTCGCCTCCAGGTCCCACGGTGGAGTTCCGGCCAGGAAACTCGCCGTCTCAAAGGAGATCGTGCGGTACCCCCTTATGATCCTGATGCTAAATGGGTTAGACACCTAAACGATATTAATAGTCTTTGTACTGAAGATTAGAGATCTTAACCAGGCAAACTTCAGATGTATCTCCATCTTTAATTCATGGAGATATTTTGGGGACCAAAGAATATGTTTGAAGATCACAAAGTGAACGCAGTCTAAAGGCCACGGCACACTGTCACGGCAAAGTGACGACACCGCTGCAGCACGGCGCTGTCTCGAATTTTGGCGCGCTGGCAACCGCGCGCTAATTACGCGTTCCCCGCGAGGTACAACTTCGAAATAGGCGCACCAGCCGCGAGAAATAGAAAAAAAAGTGTTTGTCACAATATTTACGGTAAGACTAGGTATTTAAAGAATTTTGCCGTGTTCCCGGTGCTGCCTAAATAGAGAATTCACCCAAACGTGGTACCCACGCTTTTGCGGGCAGGCGCTAGGAGGGGTCCGGATGTCTAAACAGCAGCAATTCTCGGATTCCTCCTATTTAAGGCGTAGAATGGCACATCGTGTGGTTTTATTCAGTTAGATTCCGACACAGCACCCAAAGAAGTATATAAAGAATAATAATAATGGGTAATTTATTTATTTATTTCCTCTTCACAATAGATAAAGGTCTAATGTATACTTATATTGTAAAGATGAAGAGTTTGTTTGGTTGGAGGCGCTAATCTTAGGAATTACTGGTTCGAATTGGGCTAAACCAACACCAAAAAATCTTTGTGTATTGGATAGCCTATGTATCGGGGAAGGCTATACATAGGCTAGACATTGAAATTATTGCTACTTTTAAATCATACACATTTCATAACATGATTGGTTTTGTTGACTGCGATTTCACCTGTGATAAATCACTGCTTAGATTTGGTCATAGACAAAGATTAATGCCATCAAAATCAATCAAACCGACCTTTTTTTTAGATTTAGAAAAACTAGCGTAATAAAAATAATTAGCCGCAGTGATATTGTAGATGAGTCACAATTGTATTAAGTCATATGATTAATCACAGTTGATTGAGATTTTATCTTATGCCTACTATGGGCAATATAATATCACGCTGCGAGCAATAGGAGTGCAAAAAGCGGTAATTTTATTCCTTTTGAGAGACGCAGTCGAAGTTGCCCAGTGCCAATAGTTGTATATAATCAGGGTTACTATACATGCAATGTATTTTTCCAATAACGCTGTTTTATATCCGCCTTCATTAAGAAGAGTTTTACAAATGTGTAGCAATGTTAAACAACTCTGAACATTGCTAAGTGTTTCTAACATTGTACTAAATAAGTGGCTGTTACTTTTAGCGAATATTACGACCTCCCAGATATTTACGCAATATTAGAATATAAAAAAACTATTAGAACTTTGAAGAATTTAAACGCAGTATTAAAACTTTATGCTATTTGTAGGCCCAGCATGGACCTAACACAACGCTTTTGGGCTTTGAATACTATTTCTCTCCCGTAACAGTTTCCCCAAAAGATCTATTGAGTTACACTTATAAAATGATATTGAGATTGAGATCACACTATATCTCAAAATCACATAGTTCTAAACAACGTATACAAAGGCCTCAGTCAAAGGATTACTATAAATTATAATGATGATGTCCTCCCAGACGTATCCGTCGACGGCGACACCCTGTCACTTTTCAACATTTATGCTCATGTGCCATTACGTGACTCGCGAACGTAACACAACTAATTCTAATACTGCTTATCAGAAACCACTTACAGAATGATCAACGCGAATTAAAAATACACTGCAATAGAGACAATATATCTTTGGATAATTATCCAATTTTATTTTAAAACGTCACTGTCACAGGAAAAATAACTGTCATTCTATTTTTTTTTTTATTTGAACAAAAAGGTTTAAATACTATAAATACTGTATGGTCAAATTGATAATTGTGACACAATTGTTTTGCTGCCCTGCGCTGCCCTTTCCTAACTCCGTCATCTATAAATCTATCTGGAAAATTATTCCGTTGCTTTTTATCGAGTGAATTAGATTACCGGAGGTCATACCGCATCTTCTACTCTCTATTTCTCTTCTCCTTCTATTTGAAGATGGACAGGCGTTGGTTGTAGGTGACCATGGCGAACCGTGTCACTTACCATCAGGGAATACGCCCCCTTGTTAACTAAATAAAATAAAACTAAATAAAACCCGTATAAAACTGTATTTCTTTTCTTTCAAAGTATAGTTGTCTCGTAGGGGACATTTGGAAGTTTAAAATTGCAAACCTCGGTTTTTTGATGTAAAAAACTTTTTATTTCTTGTGCTAATGTACAGTACAAAAAGGTCTGTGTTGGATTGCCTTAACATTTTTAACAATATATTAAAAGTAAAACTAGTAGGTAGTAAGTAATACGACAATGATGCGTTCCGTTATATTATAGACAAAGTCTATGCGCTTAGACAATAGTTCTTTAATTTTTCTTTCATTAAGAATATGTCCTGTGTCACGGGAGACTTTACAAACATACATGAAACGGTCACAAAGAACACTCATCTCCAATGGGAGATGCATGTTCTTTGAGAGTGTAAGGACACTCACAACAATCAGCGTAGTAGTAAGCGGTGTGGCGACCGCTTAACCACTACGCCATCCGTGCATTATAATCTCTGCTTGCTATAAGTTATACAATTGTATTACACATAATAATATGATTAACAAAAAGACGTGACGGCTGTGATATGACCTATCTCACTCTTTCGTATAGAGGATGCGGGTTGAGGATCCTCTCATACCATATCTAATTTTAGCAAAGGGATGGCGGGTGTTGACAGACACTCAAAGGCGTAATTAGTTAATATGCTAATTTACAATAAATTGTAATTGTTTCTGCACTATTTTTATCATTTGGTTCATTAACTTTCTTTCTCTCACATCTCACACGTGGCATTCTGATCCTAAACTGGGCAGAGCCTGTGCTATGATAATCAGACTGCTGATAAACATACTTAAATATTTCTAGATACATATGCACATATTTTATATAAAAAAATTACTACAGAATTGATCCAAAATGGTAACTTACTTACTCTAGCAGAATAAACAGTAATTATATATAATTTTGATTACAAATTATCTTATTGTCTGATTAGCCAATGGATGTGAAATTTTTAAATTGTAAAATTAGAACCAAAGGCTTACAAACAAAATTAGAAATATGTGACATTTAGGCAATTGGTTAACAAGAGACATGGGAATTGGCAACAATAAAACATCATCATGGCTATGTGAAAAAAAAAACCGTTTAATAAAATGGTTTTAAAACCATTATTTATGTTTTTAATATTATGGTGTCAGTATAATCCGACTGCCTAGGTAGGCCGACTTGGGGTTTAGTGGGTAGACCCTTTCTCTGGGAATCCCTCACACGCTCTGCGTTTCCCCAAAGGACAGCATGGTTCGAAAAAAAAGTGTTAAATAATACCACCTATGTATTTTCGTGAATGTTTTTTTTTGTTGTTTCAAGGGGGCATCGTGAAAGGGGCACCGAATATAGATGGATAACTATTTAATGTAAAAGAAAAAAAACATAATAATAGAACAGTTTGTCATGAACATTCTTATGATCTATACAGTTACACAAAGAGATTTTTATTTTATTTATTTATTTTACTTTATGTAATTTGGTACATCGGCGGACAACCTATGGGTGGTGTAGAAACCTTGTAAGACAGGTGCACAGAAGTTACATATTATGTAATCAATGCAAATATACACGGTTCACACACACACATAAACTAATACGCGTACATATATACAAACATATAACACAACACACGCATATTATATATATATATATATAAATATATTTGTATAGATAGACGATATAGACATTATTTAGGTACATTTTATATTGTAAATGTATGTTTTGACTTTATTGAATTTATGTAATCATTCGGGTTCGATTCCCGCTCAAGTCAAACATTTGTGTGCATGAACATTTAATGTTTGATTAGGTCTGGGTGTTTCTATGTATAATAAGTATGTATTTACAAAAAAAAAAAGTATATATGTATTTATATCAGTTGTCTAGTACCCATAGTACAAGCTCTGCTTAGTTTGGGACTAGATGGTGTTGTGTGAATGTGGTACAATATTATTATTATTATTGTTTACTTTAGATATTTAATAGTTTTAATATAAGTTCCTTTTTCTTTTTATTATCCATATATTAAATAACCCACCCCTAGTCGCTCCCGGCGCAGAGGTGCCCATAACGCTAGGTGCGTGCCCACGTACTTATTATATTTATATTTAATTTTAAACCGAAACAAAAACAGGAGGTATCGAATTCGACTGTATTTTCTTTTGTTATTTTACTTTTTATTAGAGAAAATATTTAAAAAGGAATAAGTACTGCACTGCAGAGAGGAGGTAAACTTGACACAAACCCTATACCAACCCGTCTGGCCAGCGTGGTATAGTAGGCCAAAACCTATCTAAGAAGAGCCTTATGTCCAGCAGTGGACTATTAAAGGCTATTGATGAAGTATTGCATTTGTAGGTATTTCATGGATCCAAAATTATTTATTTTATGGACACTATCACTATGGACAGCAAAAACTCACCTGCTCGCCGTTCTGTTTTATCCCTTAATCCACAAACAGTAATAGAACTTGGATGTACTGTATCTAACACTTTATCCCTACAAACACTCATTTCAGATTCGTCTTCGTACCCTGAACACTTCAAAATAACTGGCTTCCTCGTATCTTTTCAACACAGAGTCCAAACATTTCCGCACATTAACAATGGCGCACCTTTTTTTATACCTCTTAGGCCTATTCATCTAGAAACACATGTTTGGGTCTAAAATAAAACTAAAGACGAAACAATTTCTTTGCCACGTTGAAACACTTAATGTCTACTAAAAACTTTTTATTGTGGGTTTAGTTTTTGTTCGCGCCCTTTTATTGTTTAATTTGTAGCTGTTTTACAGAATAATTTTAAATATTAGATTTAATATTCATCGTCTGTGTCTCTCAAAAGAAATAAATTTTCTCTGTTTTACACTCATATAGAATATACTTTTTTAGTTATAGCTATTTCCCGCGGTTTCGCTTGCATTGTTATTCCTAATTCGTGCTTCTAACTTTGAAAATAACGAACTTCCACACAACCGTTCATCCCCCTTCGTGGTGAAATTTCAACATCAACTTGACTGCACGGATGGCGTAGTGGTTTAAGCGGTCACCACGCCGCTTCCTACTGCGCCGAGTGTTGTGGGTTCAAACCCCACATGGGACGACACTTTGTGTGATCCACAAATTGTTGTTCTGAGTCTGGGTGTTCTTTGTGTCCGTTTCATGTATGTTTGTAAAGTCCCCCGCGACACAGGATATGTTCCTAATGCGGGAGTTGTCTTTTTAAATAAAAAAAAATAAAAAAACTTGACTGCCTCGAATGTGCAGTGGTAGAATATGCGACTGCTGCGCTGAGGTCTCGGGTTCGATTCCCGGATCGGATCAAATGTTTTCATGATCGTCAAATATTGGTTTCGGAGTTTGGGTGTTTTCCATATACGAGTATAACATGTATATTTTTACAAAAAAAAGTATATAAGTATTCTATCAACCAATTTAGCTTTCATAGTACAAACTCTGCTTAGTTAGGAACTAGATGGCGTTGTGCGTTAGATAAAGCATCAGTTGCCAAAATTTTAAAGTTTGTAGCCCAAGTGGACTCAAGTGGTTTAGACTTTTAGAGTTTGCGTTGATGAATCAGTCAGAGCGAATAATTTTATATGTATAGATTATAAGAGATAAAGGATCCTTGAGGTGTTTCTAAAAATCAGTAACTACGCTTCTAGCATAGCTCCTGGCAATTCATTCCAATGCCAATATTTCTCATTTATAGCCTAGTTAATATTCAAAAGTATCTTACCAAAGAATCACAGTTAACCAGCCACAACGTAAAAAAGATTAAATTCTTGATTATCTATATTATGAATGCCACCACGAAATTAAAGAAAACATTCGCTAACTCATTTAAACTACTTACGTTCACAGATAATTTATAGGTTAAATAAGAATTATAAAGTAAAATAATTCCTTATTAAACAAACACTAATTTATCTACCTAAACCAGTAATACACTGACTATTTTTATTGCGGGTATAACAATAAATATCTCAAAATTGTAAGAGTACCCTCTAATTTTATATTTTTTACTTGCAAATAGCATCACTATTTACCATAGAGTATGAATTCAATTTAAAAATGTAACAGCAAGTCAGACATTTCTTTTTTATGCATAGGTCCTTTTAAAAAAAAAATAACTAGATAATTATGCATATACTTACTTGATCTGCTATTCCAGTATACTACTGGGTCAATTCTCGTAATAAAATTTCTTTCAAAATACAGTTCCGATCTTCTCTCGGTCTCACAACTATGCCATTAAAAGCTATTCTCGTAGTAAAACATTAAAGTGTTATGTTTAAATATAGATTAGTAGTATTTATGTACAAAAAATATTTCATAGGTTAAGACCTTATATACTTCTCTAATTTATGTATACCTATCACCAGTTCAAAATGAATCCATCCAAAGGTTGCCTGGAAGAAATTGCACTAAGCGATAAGGCCGCCCTTTGTACATCTATTGTTAATTACTTTATAAAGTCTGTAAAACCCTGGTGTACAAATAAAGTATTTATCTATCTATCTATCTATTACTAAGATTAGCAGAATACCAATTCAACGATCACAATACGATATAATTTAAGTATAGTCAACGTTCTAGTAAAGGCAGATGATGATGATGATGGTGAAGATGCACATGTTTCTTAAGTCACAACATAATATTCAAAAACCAGCTTTTTTATTTCAATGTATGGACTTTCTCTTAACTTAGTTTTTTTTCCCATACTCAATTCATCGGACCTCATACTTCATACCATAAATTTTTATTAGGGTCACTTCCGTGCGGAAATCCCTACGGATACCACCCACCGGACCGCGGGGTGGTTATGTCGAACTTGAACCGACTAAGAACCGAACTGTCTCAGGTACCAGTAGCCGTTGTACCCGAGAAAGGAAATCCCTGACAAAAATATACAGATTAGTGGGTAATCTGTGCAGAAATATGTTTAAAAAAATTACATAATAGGAAATCACAAGGTTTCCTAAATTGTGATTTTTATAATTCTTTATTCATGTTTCATAAAACTTATAGGTTACATCTTTGAACGGCCACAATAATTTTTTTTAATTAAGTGAAATAGCTTCTATAGTCGAACTAGACGGAACCTGTATTTCGACTACAGTACCGACTCCCCAATGTACAATACTTAATAAAAAAGAAGATTGTGTGTGCGTAGGTGTGCGTGTTTGTGTGCGTGCGTGTTTGTGGGTGTGCGTGTGCGTAGGTGTGCGTGTTTGTGGGTGTGCGTGTGTGTAACTATTTATTGGATAATTTACACAACTTTTTCAGTCTCTTCCTAGTCAAGTTTTTGTAATAAATCAATTGTTTTTTGCACCGTGTCCGTTAGTGGATAAGTGGTTAGTGGTGATTGTATTTCTATCACAGTTATAAACATCCTTAATTATCAAATTTTATCTCTGCTTTTAGAAATAGTGTGGCGAACGAATTCGCTTTATTTCTTTGTCTAGTATGACTCAATAGGAAGATCAAATTTTGTACTAACTACCTTGCAGACTTCTATCAGAAAATATGAATAATAAATTTATCAAGTATATTTGGATAATTGTTTTGAAGATTAACCGTCCGGGGCCTTTAAAAGGTTCGTTTTCTTTCTGTCATAATAATACACCTTGAAAAGATAGGTTAAAGAATGTAGCAAATTGGGTATCAAAGTTTTTTAAATAAGTTTACAATTTGTTAATAAATAAAAAGTTTGTCAAATACCTACTGTTAATGTAAGCAGATTTATCTCACAAAGCAGGTGTAATTTACCTAAAACTAATTCTAACTCGGGAAATCCCACAGTCAGCTGAAGAGCCGTGGAACGCCAAGGATAATCACCTAGTTAGGTCAGATTATATCCCCCAGTCAGAATCATAACGAAGTAGTTAGGCTTATCTTCGGCAGGTGGCGCTGAGGTTCACTGATTACAGATTATGTAGTAACTAAATATTTGTTGTATTTAAGTATTAAACGTTGCCAAGGCGCGACTAAACTTTTATTGTGGAAGGTGTCAGCTGACGCCGCTTACTGATTAAGCCGTGATTACACCTACCGAGTAAAGTTGCGAGACAGTGCTCTCGCTACGTGTGAGTACATTGTCGAGTACTCGGCCCAGCAACAGGCCGAAATTGTAACTCGGACTCTGTACTACTTACTAGGCCAAGTACACCTCTCCGCTTCCCCGCACTGTCTCGCTCGCTCGTGTTTATTTCCATGGACATGGAATTTTGACACCAGCTGGGTGGATTTTCTGATCATTTTGTGATTCCTTACCAGCTTCACTTTGGCCGTGTGTGAAATGTGTGAAGTTATTATTATGATGATATGTCATTGGTAAACAGTAAACTCACGCGGTCACGACACTGTCTCGGGCTGAGACTGTAAAATGACACACGGCCGTGTTTCATATTTTTTATTTTTTTTTTTTCATTCTCTCATTTTATAGGCCGTTTACACGCATGGTGAGCCTCGACAAGCGTCCTCAAACACAAACGTGTAAACGGGTGTTTGGCTCAGCTCGCGTATGCTCGTCCTCGATCGGTACTAGTGTCGGTTTTTAAACACAGATCAAAGGAAGCTCGCGGCAAACTTTTGCGAGGTATTAAGCAGTAGGAAACAAGCACGCGCCGGTGTATGGCGCGTGCTTGTTCCCTACTGCTCAATTTGATATTAATATAATATATGATATGGTTGTAATTATAATAATTAAATAAACAAAAAATACTTATCAACCACGTCAATACGCCTATATGAAGAATTGCAATATATCTTATTTTTTATAACTTGTAATCAAACTAAGTATTAAAATTACTTTACTAATCCTGACTTAGATATAAATGTTCAACTAAATATTGCGAACTTACTTGTAAGCACCCCATGTTTCGCTTTGGATCAGAGTTATTTATTTTCTTTCTCTTGTCTAACCATATAATAATAATAATAATAATAACCTCACACACCTCACACAGGGCCGTCTGATTCCAAACTAGGTAGACCCTGTACCATAACCATAACCAGACTGCTGATAAACATAATTATACATTACTGGGTAAGTCGAACTACATACTTTAAGGGGTTGTATTTACCATAATTTCTGATAGCTTTCACTATGATATACCATATCCCAAAATAACCGTTTTTAAGATGGTGGATTTTTACGATTTTTTATAAAAATCGCTCAAATTTTGCTTAATACAAGTTTTTTATAACTTGTATCCTTTATTTTATGCTTTTTTTTACTGTTTTTGTGTAGATGATAAATTGTTTTAGAATTTCAATTACTAAAATTGTAGTTAACTGAACAAACTGGACCGAAGTAGATGGTTAATAATAGGAAAAAAAAATGAAAAAAAACTGACAAATATTATAAAAAAGACTATGACATTTAAACTGCAGATTTGTTAAAAAACATATACGTATTCTCAGCTATCTAACAAGGTATAATAGTCTAGGATAGCATCAGAATTCATAAAAAAAAACTTAGATGAAAGAAATTTATTAACACCCCGGTGTTAATAAATTTGCATACCTAATGAAAAAGAAAAATTCTCCGTATTGCAACTTATGTGGAGTCGAAGAGGATGTACAATACGTGCTAATGGAATGTGTCAAGAACCGAAGAGAAAGAAAAGCACTGATGGAAACATTGAATCTAAACCAGATTGATGTAGGAATTGCGCAGAATATTCAATCACTACCAATATCTGAGACTGCAAAACAGCTGTGTATTAGCGGTTCAATGTTTTCATAGTGACGCGTAAATTGAAAAGTATACATGTAGAAGATACAATGGGGTTGACATGTCCACATAGACAAAAACCCCTAATCAACAACAGATTTAAAAAATAAAAAAAAGAATTAGCGTACAACCCAGTAGTATCTAGTTGAAAACGTGGCTTGCATTTTTGGACTGTTTCGTTTTCTATTCGGAACTTTATTACTTCCAAGAGTAACAAGATATTTTAGCATATTGTGTTAAAAGATGAGGCATGAGAACACAAAGTTCTTTTATCTGTCTACACGCCATTCACGGTGTCAGATCGCAATTACGATAGCAAATGTACGGCAAGTGACGTGAAAGGGACCATTCAGAACACACCCCTATAAAGAACCTGCGTTTTGTTTTTTCTTTTCTGTCCTCCTTTAGACCCTTCAGAAAGCATGAAGGCTATTTGACGAAGGAAACAAGCAACCTTATTTTTATAATTGCACCGAAATTAAAAAAATAGAGGTGTGTTTAAAATCCGGGTAAGTGCGAGTCGGACTCGCGCACGAAGGGTTCCGTACAATTATCTATCTACGGCAAAAAAAAACATGTTTTTTGTATGGGAGCCCCACTCAAATATTTATTTTATTCTGTTTTTAGTATTTGTTGTTATAGCGGCAACAGACATCCATCATCTGTGAAAATTTCAACTGTCTAACTATCACGGTTCATGAGATACAGCCTGGTGACAAATGGACAGACAGATAAACAGACAGACAGACAGAGAGACCAACGAACGTTTTAGTAATAGGGTCAAGTTTTACTATTTGGAATTAAAAAAATTAGAACATGAAGTGATGATTTTTTCTTTTTCTCTGAGGTTGTGGTATCATCACTCCGGTCGATAGATAGTCTCAGTAGATCTACTGCTAGTACTACTACTAAAGGCTTTTTATAAATTCATAATATATAATATAAAAGTGTGTGTGTCAGCTCCGATGCACGACAGAAGTTTACTCCTTAAGAACGCAACCCTGTGTACGTACAAATTTAGTGATCAGCGCCATCTATGTAAATGTTAGTAAAATAATTATTTCCCATTTATTCATTCCCATTTATTTTGGGATTTACTCCGTTTTAAAACAATTTTTATTTTGTAGTGGGCTACTCACTTAACTGAAACAAATTGCAATCATATAACTAATAACAAACTCACAAAAAAAATATTATTAACTATATTAATAAACGTAACGAGGTTATTTGATCACTAAATTTTATATTTTTATATGTAAATCAATTCTTAGGGAGTAAACTCCAAAAATTAAATGAATCGATACTAGGTATAATATTTCCGAATTAAAGAAAGGTTTATGGTGATGCGATCTGCGACACGTGTCAGACCGGCCACAGTCGATTTCGCAATTTATAGACGTATCAATTAAATGTTATTTTATTGTTATGGCAGTACCAATCAATATATTAAATGTACCACAATTTATCTTGTTAAAAAAGCAATTGTTTGTGGCCTGGCAGTACCCCGTATACGTTGCAGCCCGACATGTAGGTAGGATACTTAGAATTTTCTAAAATGTAAGTGGAAGAAATGTTATCTCAATATTGTAATACTGATATAATATGATATAATATAATATAATATAATATTCTTATTTATTCTGTAGAATAAATAAGAATATTATCAATCTTAATATAACACTGAACATTAAAATTCACCATACCTATTGTTATGAACAGTCAGGATTGAACAATTAAATGAAAGACGTTGTCAAGAAACAGCCTTGTATTATATGCCTTAGTACACCTTTTCCATACAATTAATCTTTACCACACTTGGTAGTCCACTTAATGCCAACCAACGACTAATCGTCTTCTGGGCTCGTGGCCCTTTTCTCAAAACACAATCTTAAGCCCCATCCTTAGAGTCGCGGGGCAAACATAAATCAAATCTTGGTGTTAGCATTAGGCCATTGACAAATTTTCCTTAAATAAGTACGAGACACTTTAAGACGATTATTCTATTTAATCATTAATAAAATATTAACACATAGAAGTAATGACTTAACAGTTATTTTAACCAAAAGAACTAATGAACTAACACTATATTAGCTTTTTTGCATGATTTTTACCTTATTGTTTAATTAATTGTTTATAATCCATGTTCAAATAAATATATTAAGTAATGCAATAAGTAACCTCAAGAATAAACTGACGTAAATTATATTTCGTCGCTTCATTCTTCAGATACAATATAAATCCATACCAAGTAGTCCCTTTAACCTACAGGCAACATCGCACGTTTTTTTTAGAGAAAATCGAGTTAAGGAATCGATTTCGTATTTAAAAAAATAAGAACTGTCATTCGCTACGGCCACCCGCGTCCGATCTGTGGAGCTCATTCCTTTTTCGTGCGAGGCAACGAACGCACCTTAAAAATGCCGAAACGCAGCGCACAAGAAAGTTAAATAGTTACCGGAAAAGATTAAGAAAACAGAAGAAAGAGAAAAACGCAAGAAATATCTTAATCATAGTCGAATTCGACGCGTAATAGAGTCAGACAATGACAAGAATGGAGGTATGTACATAAAACTTATAAAATTCTTTCACTTTACTCTTATTTCACTGTGGTTACGTTTATTTCGTATTGATGTTATAATTAATGAGTAAATTATAAAAAAGTGATTATAATTTCGATTGCTGTATCAGCAAGACGCGTTCGATCGTACAGATTCGAACAAATCGTATTTGACTGCGAGTCAACTACGACAACATGTTTAGCTGCGAGCTACTCATGAGACACGTATGTGTTTAAACATAATGTAGAAACTACGCGTAATCTAAATAGATATGCGCGTGCACTACATTATTAAAATCGTCTGCGAGACAATCGGCCTTCATAAGATTAATCTATTTATGTAAAAAATCGATATATAGGGTTATCATCAATATACCCTAATATTTACCTATCTAAGGTAAAAATAAGCACGAAATAGTTATCATGGCAGCAGTTGCTATAAACAAAATGCTGATGAATCCGAGCAAGATACGATGGACCCTATCATGGAACCTCCATTGGAATCATCTGCCTTGGGTGCATCCACATCTGCTACACCATAATTTGGTACTAACGTCCATGATAGTGTAGCAAATTTATGGACGCCGATATTGAAGGCCGGAGGAGGCCAAAACCTCCTTTCTAAGGAGAGGCCTATGTCCAGCAATGGACTAGTAAAGGCTGTTGAGGTGATGTGATATTGAAGAAATGCCTTCCTAGTGAGGAAACAGATAAGTTCGTTAAGGAATACCTACTACCTAGCAACTGTACAATGTTGCAAGTTCCCAAGCTCAACGCAGAAATTTCTGCTGCGGCGATGGATATGGCAAGAGGACGAGATAAAAAACTGTTGAAATTCCAACAGCAGCTCAGAGTTGGTACTGCTGCTATTGGCAGAGGAATTGATACATTATTGAAATCTAACAATAAGGTTTTGACCCTAACACAAATAAGTGACTGTTGTCGATTCTTAACAGACCTTACATTATTTACTGTCCAAAGACAGAAGTTGGTTTCACGGCTTGAAAAAAAAAAAAAAAAAATCCTAACAGTGATTCAAGACGCCGACAGAGATGAGACGTTGTTTGGAAACCCTTTGTCTGAAAGAATTAAAGCCAGTTTTGCCATTAGTAAACAGAGTGCACAAATCAAGGCTACGACAAATCAACCCTATGCAGTCACATGTTACTCGACCCAGCCAGGGAAACTGGTCGGGACCTCGTCGTTACCCTACGAATAGGGAGGGGGGCGGGGAGGTTAACGGAAGTCGGCAATGGTAGCACCACCACGCCGGGCTTATCGACCCCCTGCTCAAATACAAACAAGAGCACACAAGCTTTCCAGGCCATGTGCAGCTCCACAATAACTCAGGTACACGCAGGCCGCATTAAATCATACCTAAACTGTTGGTTTAAAATGTCTAATAATAACACTATATTCTCATGGATCGCTAACGGATATCCTATCCCTTTTTGTAAGGCAGTCATTCAAATATCAACCCCAAATTGTGATCTCGCATATATAGAAAGCTTCGAAATGTTTGAAGCCACTAATAAACTGCTAGATTTAGGTGCTATATCGCGCTGCATCGCATCGCATGGTCAATTTATTTCAATGACCTTTCTAGCACCTAAACCTAATGGTAGCAAACAGGTTAATTTAAATATTAAACCATTAAATAAATTCGGGGAAAAAACTCACTTCAAGATGGAAGATTATAGAACGGCAGTAAAACTAATACCCAAAGGAGGTATTTAGCTACCATAGACTTAAAAGAAACTTATCTTTTAGCACCTATAGTGGAATCTGACCTACTTACGTTTTAATTTTCGAGATCAAATTTCTAATAAATTAATCACGAATGAGTTTAATGCTATGTCATATGGCCTTTCGGTGGCACCTAGGGCCTTTACGAAAATTATGGAGGAAGTACTCGTAATAGCCTATCTCCGAAAACAAGGCCACAAACCTGTGGTCTATCTTGATGACATGCTGTGTATTGGATAATGAACAGCTGAAATATGAACAACTATGACGAATGTCTAACAAACGTACAGGAGACTCTAAGACTATTAGAATGTTTAGGGTTTATTCTGAATTATATTAAGTTTACTGACACCATCTCAAAAATGTAAATTTTTAGAATTTTTTTTATAATACTGAGAATCTTACTTTATCTTTACCACGTAAAGCGACATAACATCAGAAAATAATTCAAAAGTACCCACGCTTGCCACGATGTACCATACGCGATTATGCGCAATTAATCGGTGTTCTAATAGCTGCCTGTCCTGCTGTTAGATATGGTTTCTTATATACAAAAATATTAGATAAAAATTTATTTTATTACTACAATATAACCATTATTATGAATCTAAACTAAATTTACCTAAATGCATTCTAGACGACCTTAACTGGTGGATTTAAAAACATTTTGACAACTTCGTGTCCAATGAGAACCATACACCATAAGAAAGAAATTTTCACAGACGCATCCAGACCGGGCTGCAGCGGCGTGTGTAACGAGGAAAATATTAGTGGCAATTGGAGGACAAACGAATTAGAACATCATATTAATTACCTAGAGCTCCTCGCAGCATTTTTAGGCCTTAAAAGTTTTGCTAGCGATGAGAAAAATTCCACGATATTATTATTTATTTATTTATTTATTTTCTTTAAAAACAACTATTTTTACAGGCTTAGCCCAATGCAATAGTGTTATACCATCTACTTATTTATTATAAGAAATATTTCTTAATTATTTCTTAATAATTATGTATTGACATACTACGACTATTGGTTATATAAATCGTCGGGGCGGTATTCAATTTCCACATGTTAATGATTTGACTAGATGCATCGGACAATGGTGTGAGAAAATAAATATTTGGTTATTTGCATCCTTTGTGAATACTAAATAAAATTGCGCTAATGCAGAGTCCCGGAGAATTAACCCGGATACCGAATGGAACCTATCGGATAAAGCTTTCGATGATATCACACAACGTTTTGGATACCCAGAAATCGACCTCTTTGCTTCTCGAAGCAATGCGAAATACAAAATGTTTGCGTCTTGGAAGTAAGAGCCAGACTCTTACACCGTAGATGCATTTACCATAAATTGGCAATTAAAATACTTTTACGCGTTTCCTCCATTTTCACTCATTCTAAAATGCTTAAGAAAAATAATTGATGATAAGGCAACCGGTATCCTAGTTTTTCCATACTGGCCTACACAGGCTTGGTTTCCCCTATTACAAAGTCTTCTCGACTCTCGTATTATATTTTTCAATCCGAATAACTCACTGTTACAATCTAATTTCAGAAAGTACCATCCTCTCCACCACAAACTTACCCTAGGTGTCGCGAGATTATCAGGGCAGCATTCATGCGCCACGGCACGCCACCAGAGACACTCGACTTAATGCTAGCATCCCTGTCGGACAACACCGTTAAACAGTACAACGTAACACTTAAACTATGGTGGCAGTTCTGTGAGTTACACAATATCAATAGTTTTAATTACTCGGTGTCATCTGTCTTGTCATTTTTGACAGAACAATTTACAAGAGGATGTTCTTATGGCTCTCTTAACAGTCACCGTTCGGCGCTATTCTTAATCCTAGTTGAGAACATTAGATTTAACGAATCAATTAAGCGCTTACTAAAAGGAGCACACAAGTTCAAGCCAAATCGACCGAAGTATACCTCAACGTGGGATCCACAATTAGTTCTTAATTTAGTTTCTTTTTGGTACCCAAATTTGCATCTTAACCTCGAAAAAATCTCAAAGAAGCTTGTTAGCTATTTGCACAGTTCACCGGGTACAAACCTTATCACTAATCCAACTCGGAAACATTACCTTTCCAATAATCGGAGCTAAGATAGCCATTACGCATATAACTAAAACCTCCGCACCCGGGGGTGACCATCCAGTTTTAGTTCTGCCATACTTCGACACAAACCCTAACATATATCCAGCTACAACCCTCAAAGATTACATTTTTATGACAAAAGATCAGAGATCAGGCTCCCTTATATTGACATTTAAGAAGCCATATAAACCTGCCGGTTCCCAATCAATAAGCCGTTGGATAAAGCAAGTGTTTTCAGAAAGCGGTGTGAACATGAGTACTTATAACGCACACAGCACTTGACACGCAGCCACGTCGGCGGAGCGTTCCGCCGGACTAAATTTGGACGTAATTCGAAAGACAGAAGGATGGACTAGTGTGTCCACTACTTTTGCTCGGTTTTATAATAGGCCCATAAAAAATGAGTGAATTTACCAATACAGTAGTATTGCCTAACTGATTAGAATCATTAAATATTTAAAATCATACGCAAAGCAAAAAAAAATTTAATCCTTTGCTCGATTTTATCTACGAAATATCTTTAGTAAAGTATTTTTGTTTAAATAAAAGCCTCTGATTGAACAACATCTTGGCTTTAACTTAATAACCCATACGGTGATTGAATGTTTATAGGAACAAAACTTAATTCTCTAAACATCTACTTGGTATGGATTTATATTGTATCTGAAGAATGAAGCGACGAAATATAATAGATGATCAAACGAACTTCTCAAGTGAAGTTCGATCACTATTATATGAGTCGCTTCATTCGAAGATACAATGACCCTCCCACCCAAGCAAAAACACATTCAGTACCTCATGTGGTTAGCTCCCAATAATTAAGTTTGTTTCTATATCTCTAAAGGAATGAGCTCCACAGATCGGACGCGGGTGGCCGTAGCGAATGACAGTTCTTATTTTTTTAAATACGAAATCGATTCCTTAACTCGATTTTCTCTAAAAAACGTGCGATGTTGCCTGTAGGTTAAAGGGACTACTTGGTATGGATTTATATTGTATCTTCGAATGAAGCGACTCATATAATAGTGATCGAACTTCACTTGAGAAGTTCGTTTGATCATCTATAATTTTTGTGAGATATTTTGTCTATCTGAAATCTTTATTATAAATAGCAGTTTTTGTTTCACATCACATCACATCAACAGCCTTTAATAGTCCACTGCTGGACATAGGCCTCTCCTTAGAAAGGAAGTTTTTTGTTTAAATGTATGAAAATTATTAAATAAATGAAAAACCTTAATTATTTACCACTAACCTTCATTTTGAAGAAATGTTAATAATTTTTTAACCAGGCTTGAACAAAAACTGCCAGCGTGCCCAATAACAACCATATCAAAAGCACAATTGCATATTTTTTTCATATATTTATGTAACGAATACTGGTTCAATAATGATTTCGCTATCAGAGAGTTGACACTTTTATAAATGACATTCAATTTTTCCAAAAGGTTTTAAACCCCTTATATATGCAAGCAATTTTGAACCTTACTCTTTAAATTTAAGCTCAGTAACACAAACACTTGCAGATACACATAGAAGGTACTGATTTCTTTATAATAACGAAAGGTAACTTGAACTGATATACTGACTCAGCAATAAGTATCTATAGTATGTCGAATAAAACTCACCAAAGACGATTCTACCTAGGGTTGCCAATATCTGCAAAACTTAAGCTTTATATATGAAACTAGCTTATGCCCGCGGCTCCGCCCGCGACTACCGACGTAATCACAGTAAAAGTAAATATAGCCTATGTCTTTCCTCAAGAATCAAATTATTAGTGATCGACCGAAGTTTCGGCCAAAAAATCTAGTTTCGGTTCAAGTTTCCGTTTCGGCCAAAATATGCCGAAACTTACGGCCGTGCGTCGTTCAGGTAACTCGTGGACACCGGCACATTTCGCCGCCGTCTAGTACGATCTTTTTTCATGATGTTTGGGCAAGCGAGCAGACGATGACGGTCGGAAGACGGGTCGAAAGATGGTAAGTTACTACCGACGCCCATTGACACTGCAACTTAATAGTCACCAGTGAATTGCCGCCCTTTCAGTCCCTCTCCCAAGATTCAGGGGATAGGGGAGGGCTCCAGTAACCTCTGTCACTCGGTGAAAAGCAACGAAAGAACTGCTTGCTTTTCTGCAAGGCGGTGGTATCATTCCGGTCGAGCCTGGGCGAAAAGTGCCGAGGCATGGCTCTCCCACGACTAACAAATTTTGTATTTTTTTTTTATAAATATAAATATATGACTGCCTCGGTGTTGTGGCGGCAGCGTATATGACTGCTATTACAAGAACAAAGGGTATTCGACTCCCAGGTGTTTGTTGTTGACCAAATGTTTGTATGATTTGTAAGTATTTGTTTCAGAGTTTGGGTGTTTTTTCTATGTATACAATGTATTTTTTTACCAAAAAAGTATAGAAGTATTCTTTAAGTCACTCTAACTTAAATAGTACAAGCTTGCAATGCTTAGTTTGTTACTAAATGGCGTGTTAGATGTCCGAAGTGTTGTATTTGTTTTGTTTTTACTTGTAACTAACATTGTTTTATCTTAAAAGCAGTTATTAGGTAAAGAGCTCCGTTTTGTTTAGTTTTATTTATAAATTAATGACAAAGAGATTATGTTCGATTCAGATATTACTTATTTTTTCGTTACGTTTCGGCCGAACCTGAAACAAAGGCCGAAGGTTCATTTTCGGTTTCGGCTGAAAAAGCTGTATCGCTCGGCCACTACAAATTATCATCATCATCATCATCAACAGCCTTTACTAGTCCACTGCTGTACATAGGCCTCTCCTTAGAAAGGAGGATTTGGCCTACTATACCACGCTGGCCAGGGTTGGTATAGAGTTTGTGTCAAGTTTTCCTTCTCTCTGCAGTGCTGTTGTCCTGCGTAGTTTGCTCCCTTAGTCGCTTCTTACGACACCCACGGGATGAATAGGGGTGATGACACTCTGTATTCTTAATCCGTCACCACACGGACGCTACAAATTATATCTATACCAAATTTCATTTAAATCAGTGGAGCGGTTAATGATTCCCCATACAAACTTCCACCTCCCTTTTCACCCCCTTAAAGGATGACCGCTGAACCGATTTAAATAATTTCGTGAAGAGACAACAGACAGACAAATTTTCAAATTTAAAATATTAGTCTGGATTAACATTTAATCAAATAATCCATAGTTTACAAAAAAGTATTTGGCTAAACCAGTAAATTTTATTTTCAAAACCGGTGGTCTGGCCATTTAACGTGACTACCATCGTGATTGGTACGCTAGCAGTAGGCGACGATGATACGGAGGTATTTCTTGGTGCTAATCCAGAGGTCGTAGGTGCAGCAACGCCTAACGAGCAATCGGATCACCTGATGGTAAGTGACTATAGCCACCCATGGACATTTAAACAAGTATAACTAACTATTTTAAAACAATTAACGATGTTTCGATCTTAAATTCATTTGTTATCTGAATCGATTCTCACTGTCGATTCGTAGACACCTCAACCTTAACCTACAACACTCAAAATGCACCTTTTAAAATAATTTGTCTTTGAATGAAATGCAAACAATGCTGAGCGGTGCGCGAGACTTTTGATATAAAATAAAACAAAATAAAAACAATTAAAATTTATTTACAAAACTTGTAAGAACATACAAAGACTCGTATTTATTAAACTAGTATCCAAATTAAAATACTTAATTATTTATTATTATGACTCGATATACTTTGTTTTGAAATAATTAGACAAGTTATATATAGCATACATAATAGACAGGTACTTAAAATGTCCAACTGATTTATATTTTAGTGGTTTTTTTATTATGTACTAAACATACCCTTTTTAACCAATTTCAAGATAAGGAAGATATTTTCAGTTCTTTTGTATTTTTATTTTGCACTCACACACTTGTTCAGGGGTCCTAGTGTGAGTTTATTTCAGATCAACTTCGTTCGGCGAGGCGATTGGTGAAGATTTTTATGCCGGTCACTGTGCCGATCAGTTCATTTGAAATAAATTCACACTAGGCCCTCAGAGGCCCTAGTGCGAATATATTTTTCATTAACTCACTCGGTCACCACGGTCACAACGCCAAACGCGCTCGCTGTCGAGAGCGAGTCGATGTGAATTAATGTGAAACAAACTTGCGCCCGGCCCTCAGGACTCCGTACGCCGCCCCCCCAAATAATAATACTATAAATTTCCTTTTACTGTGTTTCTTTATTTTTATCATAGAGCTTGCTATCAAGTAAAAGGAAGCAGCTATAAAGTTTTTTTTTTTAATATGTATTTTTATTTTATCTTTCACATTAATGACTGAGCAAAAAAATGATTAGGTAAATAATAATTTGAGCATGTATTCTTTGATTGCCTAATTAAAGAATGGTATTTTAAATGTATTGTATTGTAATAAAATTACATTAAAATATTTAACTTGTATTTTTACTTAAATTCTTATAACCAAGTGAATTACGCAGTAAAAAAAGTTGGGCCTCTATCGAAAATAGGAGTGCTGTATAATATCAGCAGTTTACCTCCACATTTGTATTTTGTTAAAATTCATTACAAATACCCATTGAATTAATAACGTAGTACATTTAAACTCAAGGCAAACACCATAGTTTCCACAGTATCTAAGAATTTAATTTTCAGTTCAATATTGAGTTCGAAAATAAACGTAATTTATTTAAAACGTGAGACTTATTTAGAGTATTACTAAAATACACAAAAGTCATTCTTGAGTTCAATTACTTGAGTTCAATGCTCTAGTACACATTCTTCTTACACAATAAACACATTCTACATCGAGTACAGTCAGCATAAACAGTTCGTCATAACAAACTGAGTGTGACCAGCGAGTCAGCGGGGTGTAACGTGAGAGGTGATCGTGGATCCGCTGTGAAGGGCTCGGTACGCGGTTGGACGAGCGGCTCGCCGAGCTTGTTGGCTTGTGGCGCAGGGCTGAGGCGAATATGTTGCAGAAGTGTTACTAGACAGCATTTCATTTGTATCATTGCGAATCGCTTGCCTGAAAAAAAATGTAATTGAATAGTTAAAAAAATGGTGGCTTAATATGATTGCGGCCATGTCTCGTCTCTTGTTCTCGTAACGTGACTCTTAAATTATTTTTATAGGCACCAGTAGGCAATCATGTCTACGTATTAGTGTATTCCAAGAAAATCGTACCGTAAATATAAATAAATAAATGTGGCAGCGCACAGCGGAATAAAATTTAATTTATACGAGTATGTGTGGAAGTTTGGTTCATAAAATTGATTATTTTACTGATTTCGATTCTCGGACTCAATTCGACTGTATTTTTTATTTTTGTTACCTCAAAACTCCATCAATTATGAACCGATTTGGAAAAAAAATATTTTATTAAAATCCGTGTGTGTGTGTGTGTGTAATACGGAATGTTACCACCTCCATTTATCACGAGACTAATAGTGGTTGGTGACACACCCACGGGGGTGTCGGAAGAGCCGACTAAGGAAGCAAACTACACAGAAACACGGCACTGCAAAGATAAGGCAAACTTGACATAAACCCAATAAATATCAACCTGTCTGGCAAGCGTATATACGAGTAGTAGGCCAAAACTTCCTGTCTAAGGCTCTCCTCTATATATATATATATATATATATATATATATATATATATATATATATATATATATATACTGATATTTTATCATTTAACCCATCTCACACACGGCTGTCTGATCCCAAACTAGGCAGAGCCTGTGCTATGGTAACTGCTGATAAACCTACTTAAATTATAATATTTTTTACTGGATGGCAATCAAACCCACTACCTCCGACTTAGCAGTCAGGGTCACTAACCACTAGACGTACGGCCTGACGTATACGAGTATATACATGTATACAATAATATCTATCAAATTCCTGCGGTAACCGGACAAGTGTCTCTTCTAACAAATAGAAATATGACACTTATTGTTTAGTGAGAAGTTATGCGATACGATTATTTTTTTTTGCTGACGGTACTTATAGTGTTCTAAGAACAATAAAATATGAGAAAGTTATATGAATGCACGTATTTAAATTCCTTTGATATAAATAATACGATCCCTTAATATACATATATGAAATATGAATAAAAATCAAAATTAAACAAAATTTAAAATACAAGACCCTTAAATCATTATGTGTATGGTCATTCATGGCTCTTCTTTAATAATTACTTTGTGTAACAGTACTTAAAAACTAAGTATTTATCTTACCTATACAATACCGTGGTCCATCACCAAACGGCATGTAGACTCCTGGAGGAGGCTGCGGTCTTCCTTCGGACCATCGCTCTGGAATGAAGGCAGAGGCGTGTTCGAAGTACTGGAAAGAAAAAATCTTAACGGTAATCGAGTAGAAAATATATGGGGTCTACCAATAAGAACGTCCTGGTTTAAAAATTAAATAAAACACACAATTTTTTCTGAAAAATGCATCCGATTGATTTATTTGATGGATAATTTTATACCATTTATGTTTTAAGTAATATATCGGCCAAATGACCACCGCGGCTCTTTATGCAGACGGTCATCCGCTCACGCCAATTTTCGATGACGCGGTGCACCATTTCGGCCGGTATGTCGGCTATGGTGTTGGTTTTTAGGTCAGGAATTGTAGCTGGATTATTGCTGTACACTTTAGATTTAACGTAACCCCAAAGAAAATAGTCTAAAGGTGTTAAATCACGCCATCTTGGTGGCCAACTGATCGGTCCATTTCTCGAAATTAACGACTCACCAAACTTTCTACGCAATAATTCTATGTTCACTCGAGTAATGTGAGGTGGTGCACCGTCTTGTTGAAAATAAAGGTCGTCTGCATCAATATCATCAAATTCCGGAAAGAAATATTCGGTTAACATCGAGTTATAGCGCTCGCCATTCACAGTAACAGGGTTTCCTTCGTCACTTTCAAAGAAGTTTTGGACAATTTCCAAGCGTTGGTGTAAAGTGAAACGTGACATGATAAAATGGCAAACTTTACTGAACACAAATGTCAAGAAACGTCAAAGATCCATCATCAAACATGGCCACTATGAGCTGTCAAAACCAGGTCATCCCTATTGGTAGACCCGTTATATAAGTAATACAGTTCAGTCTAATTTAAGAGGGAATAGTGGTTAATGGTATCAGGCCATTAATACATCAACACAAAGTAATTTATATAGGAAACTAACTGTACCCTTCCACGCTTCGCTGTGGCACACTTTAGTTGCATTGCTGAGATTTAAAAAACTAACGCGAAAAACAGATAAAAACAATCTTAGAAGCGTGTTGTAAATCGTGTTAAAATTTGAACACAATCCAACTTAACATTTTTATATCATCAACAGCCTTTAATAATCCACTGCTGGACATAGGCCTCTCCTTAGAAAGAAGGTTTGGGCCTACTACACGACGCTGGCCCGACGGTTTGATATAGGGTTTGTGTCAAGTTTTTCCTTCTCTTTGCAGTGCCGTTGTCCTGCGTAGTTTGGTCCCTTAGTCGGCTCTTACGACACCCACGGGATGAATTGGGGTGGTGACACGCCGTATTCTTAATCCGTCACCACACGGTTAATTTGAGATCAATCGGTGCAGAACTTTTTGAGTATTTGTACACAAACCAACTTAACATTTTTATATACATATACAGATTCCGTTTATATGGAAAAGACGATTGGAATGTTTAAATTAACTGTTACAAATAAATAAAAATATAAAAAAATACGTTTACGTCACGCTACTTGTGTCCAGTATGAATGTTGACACGTTCATGGTATGGCAATCCTATACAATTATAGTTAATAATGTGGTTTCGAAACCGCCCAAGAAAATGATGAAAGCATTCGCTGAGATTACCATGTCAGCTGTGGATTTATGTAAACATATTTAAACTCACTACTAAAAAACTGTTCCAACAAAGCTACATACAAATTAAACATTAATTTAAGTAAAAAAAAAAACAATACTATGAAGTGCCCAATGTTTTCTGGATTGGGTAAATCACAAATATGCAGATACATTGTTCTTAGGTCTATCTATACGTCCGGGTCCTCCCCAAAGTAGGACACCTAAGGCCGGCCGTCGGGGTGGTTTTTAGTGGAATCACCACATACTCCGGAGGAGGAGGAGGAGATCCGAAGGGATTTTCCACCCCGTCAACAAAAAAAAAAAAAAAGGTCTATCTATACAATAAAATAAAATTGCAGTGTCTGTTTGTAAAGTCAAAATAATAGCTTTTTTTCATGCTCACACGGTTATATGGACGATACCTATGCCTAAAAACCAGTTTAAATACTTTTTGTCTGTCTGTTTGTTCCGGATAATGTTCAAAACGGCTGGACCGATTTTGATAATATTTTACTACATGACAGCTGTTTATATAAGGAGTAACTTAGGCTATTTTTTCTCTCAGAAAAATCCAAAAAAAATTTGCCCGATCAGGGAATCAAACCCACTAAGCAGCGCTTTTCAAATTCAACGCGAACGGGGTCGCGTGCACAAGCTAGTATATTATAAGTTGGATTTATGTTACTAAAAGGTAAATAAAATAAAGCAAAATTGTATAAATTATGGTCGATATATGACCACTAGACCATATCTAGTCATAATTATAGGTTTCATTAGCTCCGCCCGTGTGTGTCCTTTATCGCGGTAAAAAGCAGCCTACGTCCTTCCTCAAGAATCGATCGTGTCATTAAAATCGGTTCAATGGTTTACCCATGGAAGCGTTATAGGCAGATAGAGTCACTTTCACATTTATAATATTAATAGGGATTTATAGCATTTCTTAACATAGCAGTATTTCGGTTTTTTTAAGTCCCCGCGTCTCAGAAATCGATATAGTTACAGTGCGGTTAGCGAGAGACTCTTACTATTAATACTTTATAAATAAACATAGTTATATCTAGACTATAATAATTATTTTTGTTCCTTATTGAGGTCAAGACAAAACTTGTGGACACACTCGACTTCACTCGAGGGAACGCAGTAGTTTTTAACCATAGCCTTGTACTGTAAGCAAGACAATTCTTATTACCTGTTCATCTCTCTGTATGCCCAACGTTGGGAAGAGCACTATAGTGCCTTTCTCCACCACGACTTTGGTGCCAGGAATCGTATAGTCTTTGGTGCACAATCTCTGGATACTTGGAAACGGTGGATACAGGCGAAGGGTTTCTGGAAAACAGTTATTGATTACAAAAAGTTGAAACTGTGTTTTTATCTAAATTTTTTTCGGTACCAGTAGCCGGGGAACCAGGTGTGCCCTAGAAAGGAAACCCCTGGTATGGCTGACCGTAACCTAGTAAGGGAGACGATACAAATATTACAGGAGAGCTACGAAAAGAGATGGTCAAGTTGAAAGCTTGCTGCATCGAGGGTACTTGCTAGTGTTTTCTTTTTGGACAATCTAACATTACGAATCAATGGTTTATATGTTACTAGCTATTTATCGCGGCTTTTGCTAGCGTGTTTTTTTCTTATTTCGTGTTTGTAACTTTCGATATAATGAACTTTCATTCCTTATATAAGCCTTTTAGTAGTGAAATTGCCAAAATCGATTATTGGGTGCTTAAAACATAAAAAGTATCAGATGCTAAGATTTTAAGCTTGTTGCCGTAACGGTTTAGGTTCTGAGTTTATGAATCAGTCAGTCAGTGAGTAAGTAATCTGTACAATACAATGCGCTTAGATAGATCCGTTTTTTTCTGTCATGTGTCCATTACGATAGCATGGATGTCGTAGTGGTGTTGTAGTTAAGCGGTCACCTTGTTCCTACTGCGTCGTGTGTTGTGGGTCGGATCCCCACATGGGACAACACTTTGTGTGATCAATAAATTGTTGCCCTGAGTCTGGGTGTTTTTGTGTCTGTTCACTCTATGTTTAGAAAGTCCCTCGCGACACAGGCTATATCGCTAGTGCGGGAAATGTCTTTTAAATAATTTGCATATTGTAATTAATCTTCACACCATCTTCCAGAAATAAACGCGATTTTAAGAAATTTAAATTAAAAAAAATAAATTAAATTTAAATTAATTATTTTTATTAAGACCTACCTTGTATGACCATTTCCATGTACACAAGTTCCTGAAGCACCTCATAAGTGATCTTGCCATCGTGTTTCTCCAAGACTTCATGGATCTCGCTCCTCATCTTCTCTTGAACTTGCTGATGAGCCGCGAGCTCCAGGAAGAGAAAAGCAAGCGTCGATGATGTGGTTTCGAAGCCGCCCAAGAAGATGATGAAAGCGTTCGCTGAGATTACCATGTCAGCTGTGAATTTATGTAAACTTATTTAAACTTACTACTAAAAAACTGTTAAAACAAAGTTACATATAAAATTAAACATTAATTTAAGTAAAAAAAAAACAATACTCTGTAGTTTCCAATGTTTTCTGGATTGGGCTTATCACGACCTTCATCCTACCCACGCTCCGAAGTTCGATAATATTGTAACAGTTTTTTTTTAAATAAAAGTTCTTAGACATAAATTCACTAATAGCCGTGGGAATAATCAACCAGCCTGTGGCTATTACTTAACCCTACCAGTATTTAAAACAAATATTTAACTTATCAAGTTAAATGGAAGTAAGTTTGTTAATTGGTGTAATATCAAAAGTTAAAAGGCATTAATTACGTTATCTAGAAACATTCCCGTTTAAAGATAAAACTCGATAGAATCATCGCATAAACAGCCTTAAATAGTCCACTGCTGGACATAGATCTCTCCTTAGAATGGAGGTTAAGGATCATAGTTATTTAATTTTAAAAAGAGTTTTATTAATGTGGTACAAAACTGCTTTCAATACCTAACATGGACGAGGCTCTGATCCCGCTTGCTGCTATTTATGTGATATCGTACATAATATTTATTTAAACCATTTCTATCCGCAAATTTAAGACCGTTATTTTAATTTAAAATTTATCCAAAATTAACTTTTAAAATAATAAAAAAAACCGGCCAAGTGCGCGCACGAAGGGTTCCGTACAATGGTACATATATATCTATAAAAACGGCAAAAAAACATGTTTGCTGTATGGGAGCTTTAACTTTCATATTTATTTTATTCTGTTTTTAGTATTTATTGTTACAGCGGCAACATAAATTCATCATCTGTGAAAATTTCTACTCTCTAACTATCACGGTTCATAAAATACAGTCTAGTGACAGACAGACGGATGGATAGCGGAGTCTTAGTAATAGGGTTTTACCCTTTGGGTACGCAACCCTAAAAATATAATAATTCATCATGAGGCATTGTAACATACTATATTCTCCATTACTTTCATATACATTCCTTGGTGGTAATTGTTGTTAAAATTTAACTGTAACAGAAACTTAAAGTACATTGTTCCAAATAAAAATAATCAAATCCGGTGTTAAAAAAACGAAGTCCTGTGGTTACGTAATTAAAAAATACATTCGAATTAATATTAAACATTATTAAAAAGATATCCCTTTCGGTTTTCAACGGAAAACGGCCCTATCTAAGACATACATCCTACGCTCACAGTTTCTACCTTAGTGTAAACAAGTAATTTTAACCATTGATGTCTCTGCCCCAGTGGCATCTTCTTCCACAAGATGAACATATGAGACCCTTCTACTTCTTCTAACTCCTGCAATCTCAGTAATAATGCCATTAAAGCAATGGATTTTAAACCGTCATTCTTCGGCTCGATGGACCATCGTTTCAATTCCTTTGATTTGATTTGAAACGGAGACGGATGCACCCCCAGCTGAAGGGAGGCACTCAAAGAATCTCAACCCCCTTGTGTCTCGTGAGTCACAGTTGTCCATAGGCGACTGTACTCCCCACCGAGCAGTTAAAAGAGTTCCTCCTTTAACTATTTTGTGGTAGTCACTTACAATCTGCTGTGGGTTTGAAAACTAATTGTATGCCATTTAAATTTGATTATTTTGAGAAATATTAAAGCAACACAACTTACTGATTTCAACGTCCTCTAAATCTTTCTTGCTGTTATTATTCGTGTCGTCATTCCTCAGCACCATCATCATATCTATGAAGTCACCACGCTTCTCTTGAACGCCTGGAAATATTCAATAGCAATTAGTTTTGCGTACAGGCAACACTCACAAAACTTAACAGTGCCATCTAGTGTAAGAGAAACTACGTCAGTACGACCCATACTAATATAAATGCGAATGTGTGTCTATCTGTATATTTGTCGGTTACCTCATTACGATTAAACCGCTAAACCGATTTTGATGAAATTTTGGTATAGAGATAGTCCGAGTCCTGGGAAAGGACATAGCGTAGTTTTTATCCTAGAAACCATTCTTTAAGGTGGTGAAAAGGGGGTGGAAGTTTGTATGGGGAATTAATAATCGCCTAACCGATTCAGATTAAATTCGGTATGGAGATAATTTGCCATTGGTCTTCTGTCAGACACGGCCCGCCCATTTCTAATATAACTACATATATTTCTCTGTCGGATAACCTCAATACGAATTTTACCCACCAAAGAAACTCCATGCATGGCTCGCTCCATTGCTCATTCTTATTACATCTATTTTAATATAATAAAAATTGTAATTTGTAAATTATTTCTTTTTTCATCTATTTTTTTTTTCGAGCCGTGGGAGAGCCATGCTTAGGCACAAATGGGCCGGCTCGACCGAAGTGATACCACGACCTCACAGAAACCCGGTGTTAAGCAATTCTTCCGTTGCCTTTCACTGAGTGGATGAGGTTAACGCAGCCCAAATCCACCCTCCCGCTGACTCGAGCGGGAGGGACTCCAAGGGCGGCAACGCACTTGTGACCTTTGAGTTGCGGGTATCCATGGGCGGCGGTAGTTGCTTGCCATCAGGTGACCCGTCTACTCGTTTGCCCCCTTATACCACAAAACAAAGCCGTGTGGTGTCGTGGGACACCCGATAGGAACGAAGTTGTAACGATCGAGTAAAACTGATTCGGCACATTTTAATTACAACGCCATCTATGAAAGCGGCTATTACCTACATATTTTTCAGTTGGTTTCTAATTAAAACAATTTATACATTGGTAAAATCTCCTTGAGAAATGATTTCCTATCTATTCGATAGATGGCGCTGAATGACTGACATAAAAAGATAGAAATGAAAATATCTGGCTTGCTTTCTATAAGAGAGAGAGAGACAGACAGAGAAACATGCAACGCCGCACGGCTTACAATAGCTTACTATTGCAAAAAGTGTCGTGACCAATTTTCGTAAGAATTTTTTCCGTCTAGCCCCCTTTCACAACGCGCGATAAGGAACTTCGTTCCAAAAAAAAAAAGTCACAGGTGTGATTGTACGATTTATCACAGTTCATTGTGATTTTATTCCATCCCTAGTATGTTTGTATTTAGAAAATATGAAAGTATAAACTTAGAAATATACGTGCCCGGTTGAAGGCAATAATAGGCTTGCTCAATCAAAGTACAACGAAAATCGAAGTCAGCAAAACGTGGGCATTTAATTCGACTCCGTCTACCCCTTTGGGATTTTAGACGTGAATGTATGTACTAAGTTCAATGTCCTTAAGATTACAAAAGCATCAATAATACCAGTTCACTAATAAATTATTATCTGACATTATCATAACACGTGCCAGTGAGGAGTAATTCAAGTTCTACAAGTTGTTATTGATAAGCTATTTTAATACTGCTTGTAACATTACGCTGAACTTATGTAATATACACAAGTTTTGTTAATTCGACGTAGTGATAAATTGTTCATATTTTTGTAAAATGCTTATCCTCCAATTTTCTGTATGTAATAATGTTTCAAGAAGGAAGCAGGAGCAATTATGTTCGACTGAATATGTTTTTTTATGTGTGAACACCGAAATTAACACAGATTTAAGTTTTTTTTTTTACTATCTATCGTTTGTGTTTAGATATCAATGCTTTTGGTAATGACATATCTAATAAACATTCAACATTTAATGAATGTTTTTATGGAGTGTAGAGGCAAGGATAACCAACTCTTAAGAGAAGAAAATTGCAAGTGTCCAGCTGTATACTGAAAATAAAGAATGAAAAACTAGCTAGCGTATGAAAAACTACAATATGAACATAATTGTTGTAGACGGAATGAAGTTAAAATATTATAATACTTCTATTTTCTGAAAGTTAATACACGTTTATTTATTGTCTGTAAAACTCATTGACCATTTTCGCAGTCTATTACACACTGTCTAATAATTATTTAAGCATATATAAATTTATCCTAGGCTACCGCAGCGCCGCCCTTATTGGACGCGAACTTACGGAAACTTTCATACTAATGATGGAATAAAATCACAATCACTTGATATGTTATTAAATAAATTATTGCCATAAGTCATATGATTTATACAACATATCAGCACACCTGTGACTGATTTACAAAATCAATGCCACTTAATTATTATTTTTACACTAGCGCAAGACTCGCGAAAGCACTAAATCTAAAAAAAAGGTAGTAATTTTTGATAAAAATTTGGGTTGATTTTAATGCCATTTATCCTTGTCTATGACGAAATCACAATCACATGTGAAATCGCTGTGACTAAAGCCAATCATTTCATCAAATGACTATGATTTAAAAGAAACAAACCATAGTTTCTTATCGTGCTTCTGATGATTAATCTTGGTGGCAGGTTCATAAGTCCATGCCTAGCAAAAGTTTTTGCAGTCTAATTTTTATTAATAAACTATAGGTAGGTAGTAAGTTAAAATTTAAGAACTAAATAAAACTAAGAACTAAATAAAGCTAAGAACTAACCCTTCTCTCTGGCCCTTAGGACACTGGTCACAATGTTGTAGAAGAAATCGTGAGTTTTCTTTGGTATGATTCTCATTCTGAAGAACAAGACAAACGCTGGCCAGAATTGACGCATCGTCCTGAAATAAATAAATACATTTTAATTTAGTATATAATAAGAGTTATCCAATTAACCGACTTCAAGAGATTCTCAACGTGCTCGTTTATTTTTCTGTTTGTCACATCAGAACTTTGTTATTTATGAAAAGATTTGAGTGTCTGTTTGTAATGTCATAATAACAGCTCTTTAAATAATGCATCTGAAAACCGATTTTGGGGACATTTACTAAGAAATAAACCTCCCCTCCCCCACTAACCCCTCAATCCCCCCTCACCCAATGGCAAAGGTAAAGAGCTACAAAAATTGCTTAACAACAAACTTTCTGATGCCGTAACACTCTACACTATCAATATTTTTTAAGTAACATATGATACTCTATTTTGTAAATAAGTTATAGTGAAACAGTTGTTACATTTACAAATCAATTTACATCAAGGTACACTTTCAAACGTCAATGATAGTGTACTATAACAAGGCCTACTCAATCAAAAATATGTGAGATCGAATTTGCACGGCAGTCTACTAAGAAATATACAGAATTATACTCACTTCTCGAAAATATTGAACAATGTCATCTCATAGAAGGCATGCAGCGCCACAGCAAATGGATCTTCCTCATTGTACATAACATTACTCTTTAGTCCAAAGGCACAGGGTACAATAGCGTCAGCAGTATAACCCCCAACCAGTTTCTCCGAGTTGACCACAGAAGAGTTCACTTCAACATCATTCGATTTACAAACTGGTGGTTCTGTGGCGCCGTGGTTTGTCGCTGATTTAGGCTGTGACAATATGGTTTTGACTCGTGTTACGAATTCGTCTGCTGTGGTTGCAATTAGTGGGTACATAGCCCGCAGTTTATTTGGTCTGAAAGAAAAATATAACGGGATATATAGCACAGAAAGTTATGCGCATATTGAAAAGAGCGTAAGGCATAAGGGCGTTGGAACACTTGGTGCTATGTTTCAATCGCACTGAAGTCTGTCTGTAAGTTTTAATATTTATCCATCGGTATGATTTTCCCCGATGACCAGAGGGGAATTAATAAGAAAAGCTTATGAGTATATTTCAGATAAGGATTAAGAACAAGTTTTGTTAAATTTGATAAAATATGAAAACAATTGTTACAGACTTTTGAGAAAACGTGACAACTGAGAAATTAAAATGACGCGCTGTGCGTAAGAAAATAAAGTTATTTGAAAACGATAAATTAAGAAATTATTCCTTATAATATTTGTTATATAGCTACACATTTCCTCGGACCTTTATACATATATTATAAAAGTTTTATCTATTCTATATTTCTAATCTACGTACATTTTCACAACCACAAAAAGGAAAATCTTTCAATTTGTCTGTTTTTTTTCGATGTGGCGTTATTGATTTATGATTTATACCGATCTGAATTATTGACGATTAATTGCTTGTTCATTGATGATTTGTTGAGGCAATGGAACCTGATTTAGGCGCATTGAAGATTTTTGATAAAAAAAATACCTATGTGAATTTCAGCCTTACGTCTCACACACAGTTGTCTGATCCCAAACTAGTTTGATCCTATATGGTATCCTACTATGGTAACCAGACTGCTGATAAAAATCCATACTAATATCATAAATGCAAAAGTGTGTCCGTCTGTTTGTCTTTCTGTCTGTTACCACTTCACGCTTAAATCGCTGTACTGATTTAGATGCAATTTGTTGTAGAGATAGTCCAGGAAAGGACATAGGGTAGTTTTTATCCCAGAAATCATCCTTTAAGGGGTTGAAAAGGGGGTGGAAGTTTGCATAGGAAATAAATAACCGCTGTTCCGATTTAGATGAAATACTTTGATTCTTAAGAAAACACATGACAGACATAATAATGATAGAGATAAATTCCACCCAGACACAGAACAAATTATCGTGCTTATCACACAACTGTTTGTCCTGTGTGGGAATCGAACCCACGACCTCTGGCTAAGCAGCCAGGATCACTAACTACCAGACCAACTTAGTCAAGGTCAAGGTCGACGAACAACAAGATCTGTCATTATTTCTTTCTTTCCTACCACATTCACACTGATTTCTTTTACCGATTCAGAGGAACGTATATAGAATTTCTCAGAAATACAGTCTTCCATGCATAACATATTCTACACGTTCGCAAAGTATTGAGCGACGACTTGGAGATGACAACTTGGACGCAGACCGTGAACTAAGATGTATTTGTAGAAAACATTTTTCAATATGTTATTCGACAAAGGAACTGTAGCTACAGAAGATGTTAGAGAAAGATTTTTTTATATCAAAAGGGACAAAAGAGCTTAGGGGTCACATGGGCCTCAATTCTGCTATTTTAATATTGTATCAATAAACTGTCGATGGACCGTCGTCGGAATAGTTTTGCACTTTTCGTATTCTACTAATTATGTAAGACCAATGGCCTCCCAATGAATTGTCACTGAAAGCCACTGATACAAATGTCGTCGATATCTTTGTAATAGTTTGGTAAACGGTACGTTTAAAATTTGTAAGGTTTTTTTATAGCAATGTTGTTGATATCACCCTTGATAAGCCATTGCCTCTATATCGATAGTCTATTGACACTCTAAATTTAAGTTAGTAGAATACCGATATTTTGACCGATCAATGTTATCTCAATAGCGTGACAATGGAATGACAGTGGCTTGTACGTTAACATAAAATAGCAGAATTGAGATTCTGATCGTAAGTTACTACAACCGCTGAGTGACACCTGCATTTGAAAAAATAAAAGTGTGTCGACGAACCCGCACAATCCTTTATTTGCAGGAAGGGTTAGATCTCCAATTAACTCACTTACTCGTCGATAAAATTGCTTAATACCGATTTTCTGTGAGGCCGTGTCCCCCGGTCGAGTAGGCTTACTCGTATGTAGGCCAAAGAATGGCACTCCCCGTATTAAAGATATGGTTATATTTCAGAATCATAACATTTCTTAAGTGACATAAAACGCAACAATTTTAGGAGAATACGTATTTTTTAATCCAGGTATATTAGCAATAGAGTTAAACTCATATTACTAACCAAGTGTGATTAAAAATGTCGGCAACAAACAAAAGAACAATATTACACACTAAAGGATGCTATCGAAATCGTATTTACAATACTCGAACATGCAATACGTGTGTAGTTAAGTTGTTAAAGTAATGTACTACTAGCTAATGTATACAAATATAAATTGCATCAACATCCTTTAAGCTCTTGCGCGATTCCTATCTTGCAAAAAGTATTGCAACCATGATGACATTACCTATGAGTGTAAACGCGCGCGATTCTGAATGTCATTAAATGAGCGATTACAAAGCGATCACCTACCATTCTGAGTATCATAGAGTGAAAAAACGGCAATGCGGTAACAAAGCGATGACCTACCATTCTAGTGATGCCTATAATTAGTTAATCATGCTAGTTTTTTTAAAAGAACTACCTACTGATTTCAAATTCTCTTTCTGCATCTGATATCCCAACTCTTGAAGAAAGAAGAAGACTACTGGCTATGCAACATCATGCCATGATGAAAGTAGAACGTCTATATAAAAAGGTAAAACTCACGAGAAAATTGGTGATATTTTCGCCCGAAGTTTCTTCCACTCATTTCCTCTGAGGAACAATACGGAACCAGCTAATGGATCCACATCTTTGTTAAAGAAGAATCCTCTATCTGTGAAGTGCTGAAAGTCGTTCACACAAACTCTTCGGATGAGCTCTGGGTCTCTCACTACTAGAGTACGTTGGTAAAACTGATGAGTACCTGAAAGATAAATATTTTATAGTTTACTATTAAATTGGTAAATAAGTTTAGAATTATGTGAAAAAAATGATCATGACGATAAATATATTATTTAATTTAAATAAAAGGTTTTTAACTTAAGAACAACAATAAAGTTTATTTTCTGCTTTTTGACCGACTTTGACCGACCGACAAGGAAGAAAATTCTTAATTCGGTTGTTTTTAGGGTTTCGTACCCCAAAAGGTAAAAAAGGAATCTTTATAAGATCAGTGATCTTATAAGGGTTCCGTTATTATTATTCCCCCACAACCGGTGTACATAGGCCTCTCCTTATAAAGGAGGTTTTGGCCTACTATACCACGCTGGCCACCCGGGTTTGTTTCAAGTTTTTCTTCTCTTTGCAATGTGGTTGTCCTGAGTAGTTTGCTCCCTTAGTTGGCTCTTACGACACCCACGAAATAAGCACGAACTTCGTCTTCGCAACTTCAACTGCATCTTTCAAAAGGAATAAATTTTTCCCCGAATAAGTTTCTTGCAACGTTTTTCATTGATGCTCTACTCCTATTGATGGTGGTGGTTATATTTTTTTTTGAGACAACTCCCGCACTAGGAACAAATCCTGTGTCGCGGGCAACTTTACAAACATACATGAAACGGACACAAACAACACCCAAACTCGGCACAACAATTTGTGGATCACACAAAGTGTTGTCCCATGTGGGGATCGGACCCACAAAACTCAGCGTAGTAGGAAGCGACGAGGTGACTCCTTAAACCGCTACGCCATCCGTGCAGGTTATGTCAAAAAAACATACTTTAAGGCTCCTAAACACTCTTTATGGTTGAAACTGCTAGAGTAATTAAAAACTTGAATAGAACTGTGATACACTACTCATAACGTATTGGTTCCTGCAGTTATTCTTAAACAAGTTTTCTGTTTTTACACGCTTTATATTAGCTTCCCTTGAATGTACATGTACAATACACTAATTGGGGCCAACAAGCAGACAGGTAATAACAATAATAATTTCACACATGTCACACACGGCCCTCTGATCCCAAACTAGGCAGAACCTGTGCTATGGTAACCGTTGATAAACATACTTGCACCCATTACACCCACGTACAGAACAAACGATCGTGCTCATCACGCAATTATTTCTCCTGGGTGGGACTCGAACCCACGACCTCCAGCTTAGCACTCACTAACCACTAGACCAACAGGCCTGTAATCAGGACACCTGATGGTAAGCGAGTGCCCACACCCATGGACAACTACAACTCAAGGGTCAGAAGGGCATTGTCTTGCTTTGAATGCCTGCTATTTAAGCACATTTTTTATGAAGCCCCGTCTTAGCGACAGTATCGTAATCATTATGGGTTGTTCCAACAAGGCCCCCACCGTCCCCCTACTGTTGGAAAACATGCATTTTCCGATAGATATTCAACGGCTTGCTGATGTTACATTTTGACCTAATGTCATGGGGAGCAGGCCTGGGCTCGGAGCTTGCCCAACAACTTTCTGTGAGGCCGTGTTATCACTCCGGTCGATTCGACCGATATATGGAGACTGACAGACCTAATTATTATTTTAAACAAATGTGGTAGAAGCAGAAGACGACTTCTACTAATATATACAAATAAATAATATTGATGTGTTTGTTTGTAATGGCAAAATAATAGGTTATTTGCACGATACCTATGCCTAAAAACCAGTTTTTTTCGTTTGACTGTCTGTTTGTTCAGAGGAATCTTGTAGACGGCTGGACCGATTTTGATTATAATTTACTACCAGGTAAATGTTACTTTTTTTCTCTCAGAAAACCCCTTTAAAAATTTTGCCCGGTCCGGGAATCGAATCCACTAAGGCAGCGCTTTTCAAATTCCACACGAACGAAGTCGTAGTTAAAACATAATATTGTAATGATAATATGTGGGACGTCATGCTTCAGCACAAATAGGCAGACTCGGTTTATTCCCAGTAGTTCCATGAAGCTAGTTCCACATCTCGACCGGAGTAATAACATGACCTCATAGAAAACCGGTGTTAAGCTAATCTTTCGTTGTTTTTTACCGAATGAGTGAGGTAACCGAAGCCTTGACCCTACCATCCTCCAGAGTCTGGAGGGAGGACTCAAAAGGCAGCAACCCACTTGTCTCTTAGGTTGCAAATGGTGGTAGTTACTTCCCACCAGGTAAACCGTTTGCTTGTTTGTTCTCCCATACATAAAAAAAAACGCGATTCTAGTTATCAGAGGATAAGTTATACGTTCACTGTTGAGTAAAACTAAGGTTTTTTTTTCACAATCAAACAACGCCATCTAGTTCCAAACTAAGCGGAACTTGTACTGTGGGTACTAGACAACTGATATAAATAAATTTTAAATACCTTTTTTTTTGTAAATACATAGGTAGATAGATAGAAACACCCAGACCAAATCAAACATTACATGTAAAACTTGAACAATTTTATTTGTTCCATTTCCGCAGTTACAAACTATGGATGGTATCGTAAAAATACCCGGGAAAAAAAACTACTTTACTTACTTGGATAAAACGTTTTTATCCCAAAAATCTAGCATACGTATACTTTAACCATTATCACCGAAAAAGTTGGTTGATTCATAGTAAACACCTACATTTTCCAAGCACAATAATCGTATTAATATTCAAGAATTGAATATGGAAAAATTAACAATATATTTTTAAGGAAAAGATAGACAAGAAAGGATAATCTATACATAGGAAAAGACATACATAAATATAGGAAAAGACATACATATATATGGGAAAAGACATACAAGAAAAGATAGATAGATAAGTCATAGCTTTAAGGTCAAGGTCGTGTAACTGTAAACCGGTAACTGGAACTGGATTTCTTGCCAGGCATTCTGAGCTGACAGGTCATTTTTAATGAATAGAAGACCATGAAATTTTAAAACAGGTCGATTTTAACCAAGAATTGAATACTAAGAATTGAATAATATTCTGTTCCATAAACGCGGTGATCAGCAGGCTAGTCAGCGATCTCTGGTCAGTGGTCACGTGATTAACATTTCACATTAAACTGGATGTACTTCGGATGTTTAACAACATATGTTTAATCAACAACGGATGTTAAAAATCCGAAAACTGACTTGCCGTGCAATCATATTTCGCAGGCGTACAATAGTCCGACATGCCACCGACAGGTGGTATCCGAGGGGATTTCGGCACGGAAAAAAAAAAAAAAAAAAGGCGTACAATAGTCGGGGTGGCGGCGACGGAACATGGGGTTCCCGCACGGAGGGGGGGTCGTCTACTCGTCTGTAGATGGCCCGAGGTATGTCGGGGCACCAGGGACTTCCTTTCTAGGGTATACCTGGTTCCCCGGCTATTAGTACCCGAGACGGCGTGCAGTTTTAGTCGGTTCGAGTCCGACATGCCACCGATATCGATATCCGGTCATTGAGTTAATATTATTTCAATGATTTTGTGTAAAAACAAGGATGGGCTATCGCGTATTGACTGGGAAAGAGAATTCCACAGTCGCACCGCAGACAAAGTGAAAGAGTTGTCATAGGGGGTTGAACTATGAGAAGAAGTTCGTAGGAGAAGTGAAGATGAGGTGCGACAACGCCTACATCTGGTGACAAGATAGTCAAAACGCTCACTCAGATATACAGGATAGGTATGGTTTTGAAGAACCGAATACAGTCAAGAACGTGTATGAACATCTCGACGCCGCCGAATAGGTAGCCACTTGAGTTGTTAATTTGTGAATAAAGAATTAAATGAGAAGAAAATCAATTTTCTGTGCTAGAAATAGGCGGGCCTTCTGTTATAGAGTAGAAACGTCAGGACTCCTAAGTTGCAGGCGTTCATGGGCGGTCACTTTCCATCAGGTGACCCGTCAGCTCGTTTGCCCGCTCTTCCATAAAAAAAAAAAAATTGACTTTTAGCTAAGTTACCTGTTTAGTATTTATCAGCTTTACTTTACCACTCATAAAAAACTTACATTTGATTACCGTCTGAGAATATTCGTAATTAATTATTTCATTGAAAAGGTCTCCTCTCCTAACTACCAACAAAATTAAAATTGCATAGCTTTTAAAACTTATAACCTTGATAGTAATGGCCGAAATAACTATCAATTATGTTTTTTTTTAAACAACTCCTGTATTGGGAATAAGCATATCCTGTATCGCGGGGACTTTACAAATATACATAAAACGGACTGAAAGACACAATGAAACACCACCTGTTTTAATGTTTTAGTATGTATTTTTATACAGTTACAAAAAATAATAATTAAAAATCACACAAGATGTATGATCTATCCATAACTTTAGGGGGTGCAAAAGGTTTCGAACTCAAACCTGAGACTCCACGAAAAACGCCGGTAGATATACCACTAAGCTATGTATGACTAATGAATACGATCTCCCTATTCGTGAAATTCAAATTAAGAAGTACAAAACTCACCTAAAAACTTCAAATTCTTGTGTGTATCATAGATCCTCTTGAAACACATGCCTCCTTGCTCTTTAAACATCACCACAGATAATATATGACCTACAATAGGCCATGCAGGTGGTGAAAACACTCCTCTCAACTGCCAGTAGTCATGGTCAAATGTGGTGATCGTAAGAACAACAGCCAGGGATAATCCACAGGCAACAATATACCATAAAATTATAAAGCCGAAGGTGTAATATTGCAAGAACCATGTCAACAGCACGACCAGCTGTACCATGGAATATTTGAAGCCGAACATTTTGATGTTTTATGTCATAGTCATTTGTAGCTGGAAAAAAAATGTATTCAATTTGAAATTAACGTTGTTTGAATTAAATAAGAATGAAGGATCGATTCATTTTTGTTTAATTCAACAATATTAAGTTTAGTTAAGTTTGTCCAATTCAGTCTTCAAGATAGACGTTTTTTTTTTAGTTTCCAAACAATAAAAATCGCTTATCACTTTTACGAAAACAAATGTGACCAAACCATCTATAACACTGTCCTAGACACTCACACTTCTTTTAAAAAAAAACTGCAATCCTTTCACAATCACGCAGGGGCACACTTATACATTTTTTAAATAATAATAAAAGTTAAAATTAAAAATAAATTTGCGCGCGCAATATAGCGTTCGCGGTTCACGCTTGCTCACGTTTGCTATGTAGCCGAATGCGTTAACGAGAATCGTGCGCAATCTTTGATGCTGTAAGAGTGAAAGTTAAAGCAGGGCCGCATTTGTCTCGCCGGTTTATAAGACACATTCATTCATGGCGTAGTTAATATATTATGAAACATATTAGGTTTATTTGTGTAGCAATTCCGACAAGGAAAATAAATTGTGCAAAATCACTGATGTGGCGAGTAAACGGATCTTTGTTTCTAATCTGAGTTCAAATAAATTTAATGTCTTTGACAATAAACTTGTACAGATTTTATTTAAAAGTGACTTAATTTTTAAACACAGGGTAAAAACTAATTTCAAACACTTCAATTTAGTACAACTTATTTTTTTTTATTCAATATACGTAATAATTAAATTTACAAACTTTCGCACGCGACTCTGCTTGCATAAAAGTTGTTTGATCTATTACTCAGCAACAGTACTTACTTTTTCTGAGCAACAGATGACTTTTTCTGTGCTTCTGACAATCTGTAGGTAAAATTTTAAGTTGATTGATTTAGGAGGTAAGATCTAAAAGCATTACATGCAAACAAGCTCACTTTCGTATTAGAAACATTAGTTACATACCAATTAATCTGCTTAAAAAACCTATTGGTCCCAGCATCAAATTATTTACTTTGCCAGTTGGTTTAGATTTAAAATAGAACATTAATGGTAATAATTTGTACCTTGTTTTTATTTATGATAGAGGGGTAGACGAGCAGAAAAAAAATGTAGTGAAAAAACTTAATTTTATCCTTCAAACAATTATAAACACACTAAATAAAATACTGTCTTAACATTGTAATACAAGGAAAAGTGTAATATACATGCAAATGAGTCAACCGACCTAAGTTCGTCGTAATGTCTTTGTGGTTCATTACCATTTTTTTATTGCGAAAAAGAAATTGGAATTAGTCTCCTAAATCCTCCCTGTTTATTTAATATAATTGGGCAGGTTAGCGAGACCCAAAATTTATTTTGCATTTTATCTGTTTTAGTTATATATTTTCATTACCAAGTTCTGCCCTGAAGATTTTTAGGTTTGTATTACGTCAGTGTCCTCTAAGGTTCGGACGCGACATCGTAACCTACATTTCTGTATTAAATCTATTAATACACCATATGTATCACGACTTCACCCTTTTGTGATAATTTAAAAAAAAAAAAAAACATGGATGAATTACACCCTGTAAAAAACTGTAGCCTGCTTTATTTCATAGCCTCAATTATTAAGCTTTAAACATATTTGAATCAAGCTATTACACTTAGGGACAAAACACTACCAATAAATGATAATAATATCAGTGTGGTATGTATTTAAACCATAAAAAATTAAAATAAGTTACGTTTGCCAAAACTCTCTAATAATTACATTTAATTAAATTAATTACGTACATTGTACATAATTTACGTAACTTGTATTATAAAAGAACAATTAGTGAGTTAAAAGTAGTGTAGGTATCATAATTGTATACTGGCCTGTTTGTGGTTAGTGATTCTAACTGCTGAGCTAAAAGGTATAAGTTCAGCTCCCACCCAGGACAAATACTTTTAAGATGAGCACTATAATTTTTTTTAATCTGCATGTAGTCTTTACAAATAAATAAAATTGAAGTTTCTATTTGTAATGTAAAAATAATAGGGCTTTAGGAAATGGTTATTTGTACGATACCTATGCCTAAAAACCAGTTTAATTTTTTTTGTCTGACTTTCTGTATGTCTGTTTATTCCTGGTAATCTTCTAAACGGCTCTACTGATTTTGATAATATTTTACTACCAGGTAGCTGTCTATATAGGGAGTAACTTAGGTTATTTTTCCTCTCCGAAAACCTCTTCAAATTTTTGCCCGGTCCGGGAATTGAATCCACTAAGGCAACGCTTTTCAAATTCCACTCGAACGACGTCGTGGGTACCGGCCAGTAAAAATATATAAATATATATAAAAATATATAAATATATATAAAAATATATAAATATATATAAAAATATATAAATATATATAAAAATATATAAATATTTTATAAAAACTAATTTAAGTTAATTGCATTAACATAAACATTTTAAATTACGTTACATACATAATCTTTTCTTCTTATTAAAAAAAAAATTCTATTTCTTGTCGAATGGATCGCTTTTGTCTTTTTAATAAAAGCTGTTGCTGGATACCTACGAATTTAGGGACAGTAAGGCACTCCGAGTTTTTAGTCGGTTAGATTGCGACACACCGTCGCCCCACCGAAAACCCCGATACGTTTACGGCCCACGGGAGTAGCCACACGTAAAAAAAATAAGGAGCATCTACGCTCTCTCTTGAAATAAGTTTGCCATTGTCCTAATCTGGTTTAGTTATTACTAGCTGAGACTGAGTTATTATAACCAGGGGCAACGCCGCGAGGCGAATCTAGTCTAAAAAAAGTAGCCTAAGTTACTCCTTATGTCATCAGCTATCTGCCAGTGAAAGTCCCGTTGAAATCGATCCAGCCGTTCCAGAGATTACCCGGAACAAACAGACAGACAAAAATTGTAAAAAATGTTATTTTGGCAAATGTACCGTGTAAACATACATATGCATTTAGTAAAAAGCGGTTATTTTAATATTACAAACAGAAACTCCAATTTTATATATTTGTATAGATAGAACTAAAGTTTATTAGAAATCTAACTTATTTTTGATCTGATAAAGATAAATTTGAAATTAGACGGCCGTGACTATTTAGGTTCTAATACCTATTTGAAAATCTTGATATTTTATTACTCAAAAGAAACAGAGAGAGGAAGGAATGAGATGAGGAAATGTTATTGCAAAGCGAGTGTATCTTATGTAGGCTATGCATGCGTTCATGGTCGAGTCTGTACTTTTCTAAAGTTTCAAAACTGTTCAGCAATATATGAAGTATGTTACAACCGGACCCTTTGGAAAGATGAGTGCCTAGTCTGAACTCTCGTGTGCTTTTTTCATTGTAAACTAACTTTCGCCTGCGACTCTGCCCGCGTAAATGTTGGTTATCGCGGTAAAAAGTACCCTATGTTACTTGCTGATTATCAAGAAAGAGTCACAGTATACCCATACCAAATTTTATCTAAATCGGTTTAGCAGTTCTTGATTTCCCTTAAAAACTTCGACCCCTCCTTTTCACCCCCTTAAAGTATGATTTCTGGGATAAAAACTGCCTTATGTCTTTTACTCCATACAAAATTTCACCTAAATCGGTTCAGCGGTTTAAGCGTGAAGAGGTAACAGACAGACAAACAGAGACTCTTTCGCACTTATAATATTAGTATGAATGTAGGAGAATTAAATTAGCAGATGAATCGGCTAGCTTCAACTATCTATCGCTGACATAGACACCTTTTTTTTTCTTTTTTTTTTCGTGCGGAAATCTCCTCGGATACCACCTGTCGGTGACATGTCGGACTCGAACCGACTAAAACCACACGCCGTCTCGGGTACTAATAGCCGGGGAACTAGGTATATCCTAGAAAGGAAGTCCCTGATGCCCCGACATACCTCGGGTCATCTACAGACGAATAGACGACCCCCCCCCCCCTCCCCCGATGACATAGACACCTGGAACTCTTGAGTAAGAAGTTCGTTACCGCCCTTTCAGGCCCTCTCCCTCCAGAAACACCGGTTTTCTGTGGGGCCATGGCTGAAACATAGCTCTCCCATCTTTGAACTTATTATCCCAATTAATTAAATTTATATGTAATACATACTCATGGCTATATCCCGAAAAGATACACAGAGATGTATTCTACACTGATGTTTACAATAAAGTACAATTTGTTATCACTTATATATTAAAGGATAAACCTGCCGCGAAGTGGCCAATTCGGGAATCAAAGATGGATAAATCGAGATTAAGTTAAAACCTATCTTCCTTCGAGCCTTTTTTACAAGTCTTTAAGTCTTCTATGATACGGCTTAACTTTGATTTTTTACATGGAGCAACTGACATCAGATCTCCACAACGCAAGTCGGCGATATCGTATTTCTGTAGAAAGACTGTGGTTGGAGTTTTAGGGCTCCAAGTACCCGTAACGATTGCCACAGATATTCGTATAGCAACCGACGACTTAACGTGACGAGACAGGGAACGGTCTCAATGTGTTAAGAATGGTCATTCGCCTATAGACCGACCTGGTTAGGATTGCTTAACTTTGTAATGTGTTAACCTACTCGGTCACGAGCCCCTCAACATGTTAAAACATGTTAAATGCTAAAACATATATTACGAATTAAATTAAGTAAAATATTTTAGGAAAAATGTAGTTTAGTGGAAAAGGCAATCTAATAGAAGCAGTATTGCTTATAATGCGGATTGGTGAGTGTATCGAATAGACGCGTCGCATACGTCGACCCTTTTAACTTTTAACTAATAGTTTTATTTATTATCTAAATGTTAAAACGTGTTGAAACTTTTTGTACCCCACTAAACCTCATCTAAACAAATATGGCGTACGGAAACATTTTATATTTGGAATACTAATAATGCGATCTTTAGTTATTATTAATCGTTCCGAATATAGAGAAGAATCATACTTCAACACGATGTAATGAGCACAGGCCTAACTACAGAGTAAAAACTAA